TCACCAGATCTAATTGGTGGCACTGGTCAGCGTATCCACTGTTAGCGTAACACACCCGCTTTAAGGACACTGACTGCTATTCAATCTATAACAGTGAAAAAAGTGTTTTGTTTTTTTAAATCCAAGCTTTTGTGTCACCAGATCTAATTGGTGGCACTTGTCAGCGTATCCACTGTTAGCGTAACACACCCGCTTTAAGGACACTGACTGCTATTCAATCTATAACAGTGAAAAGTGTTTTTTGTTTTTAAATACAAGCTTTGTGTCACCAGATCTAAGTGGTGGCACTGGTCACCGTATCCACTGTTAGCGTAACACACCCGCTTTAAGGACACTGACTGCTATTCAATCTATAACAGTGAAAAAAGTGTTTTTGTTTTTAAATCCAAGCTTTGTGTCACCAGATCTAAGTGGTGGCACTGACTGGGGAAATGGGCACAGTATGCACTGTGAGCCTGACACAGAAGCTGGCAGCAGTGGCAGACAACTAAGTACAATTACATTACATAGAAAAAAAAAGCATACCCTAACCCTAACCCTAACCTAGTTATGCTTTTCCCTATCTTATGAACAGCAGCTACACTTTCCCTCCTCTTACTAAGCATGCAGCTTGAGAATGAATCTAAAATGGATGCCTTCCAGGAGGTGGGAGGGTCTGCTAGGAAGGGTGTGCTGCTAATTGGCTGGAATGTGTCTGCTGACTGTGAGGTACAGGGTCAAAGTTTACTCAATGATGACGAATAGGGGGCGGGTCGAAGCGCGCATTTGTTCGCCCGCCGTGGCGAACGCGAACATGCTATGTTCGCCGGGAACCGTTCGCCGGCGAACCGTTCGGTACATCACTATTGAACACCACTGCTGCCAAACTGATGTGAGTCTCTCCCTGACTTCAAATAAAACTATGCAATATAGGTTGACCTCAGGGTAGTTTCCACCACCAGTAAAACAGTGGAGCCCTAAAACCAAAAAAAAAAAACACTTACCCTTATTCAAATAGGGGACCTAGAATACAAGCATAAGGTTCTAATTTGGGAGAGTAATAAGAAATGTTACACACTCACATGGGTTAGAGCCAGGTAGGGATGGGCTCAAATTACACTAACAGATCTGCTCCTTAGCTGGCACAAACACTATTCTTTTTCTGTTTCCTTCTATTATCACTCAAAGAAATATAGAAAACAGAAGCAAAAAGCTTTTAGTGTAATACAGTGAACACTATAGGGTCAGGAACACAAACCTGTATACCTGACCCTATAGTGTTAAAATTACTATCTAGTCCCCTGCTAAATATAGTAAAATCTTACCTTTATTCCAGTCTGCTGCTGCTGGCTCTACCCCTGATCTGCCTGCTCGGCTGACATCAGAAGTGGTGGTCTGAGCCAATCCCAATGCTTTCTCATAGGAAAGTATTGGATTCGCTCAGATTAAGTCAGATCGGGGCAGAGCCTGCACAAGCCAAACACAGCCCTGTTGAATCAGCATCTCCTCCTAGAGATGCATTAAGTCAATGCATCTCTGAGTACAGTTCAGTGTCTCCATGCAGAGGGTGGAAACCCTAAATTTCAGTTACACTTTGAAGCACTACCCTAGGAAGCTCCTCTAGCGGCCATCTGAGGAGTGGTCAGTGGAGGTATCCCTAGGCTTTAATGTAAACACTACATTTTCTATGAAAAGACAGTGTTTACTGTAAAAAGCTTGAAAATAATGATTCTACTAACCAGAACAAATACAATAATCTGTAGTTGTTCTGGTGACTATATTGTCGCTTTAAATATAAGTGAATAATGTTCACCTTATCTAGAGCCCAATATGCCTTGCTCTAGATATATCGGCTTGTGTGTCCCTTATAGGGGGACACTACCCTTCTTGTACAAGGAACCAGAAATGAAGTCCACCATGAAATGTTTACATTTGGCATACATTTATTAAAATAATTTAAAACCATTAAATAAATTATAAAAATAACAAAGTCCTTAACTATGAAAGAGGGGTGGAAAAAAGATTGATTGTGCCAGCTAAGAAGCATCTGCCTGTGTGATTTGAGCCTGTCCCTACCTGGCTCTAACCCATGCGAGTGTGTAACATTTCTTATTACTCTCCCAAATAAGAACCCAACATACTACACTATAATATTTTTCCCTTTTTAACCCACTTTACGCTTGTATTCTATGTCCCTTCTTTAATTAGGGTGTTTTTTTTTCTCTTTTTTTTTGTGTATTTTTAAGAGCTCCACTGATTTCAGTAGTGGTAGAAATTACCATCTAGTTCACAATATTACTATGGTATACGAACCTAGTCTCTTTGCAGAGCTCCTTTAGCTGTTTGCTGTTTTTTACTTTACCTCAATAAACTGTATTGCAAGAAGATTTAATCTGATTGTAATTTAGGCCACGGTCACACAGCTTAAAACAATTTGTAATGCTTAGAGTTGACCTGTATTTCGATAGAGTAGTTTTGCTATTTTTGGAGATGCACACAAGACACAAACACATTTGGTACACTTTTTTTAACTTATGGGAACCCTGTTGCTCTACACTTCAGAGAATTATCTCGTATTGGAGATAAATTCCCACTTTCACTTGAGCTGACTCAACACCAGCTACCTCATAGTACGCACAAATCTATGTATGTAGTGAGCATATGTTTTTGTCTTTTTGTTTGGTGTGTGTTGTTTTTTTGTTTGCTTTTTTTTTAATATGTAAATAACAATGTAACTATTTTTTAGGTAACGGATGTTCAGAAACTGGAGGCTACAATCAACTGTGGGCAAATAGAAGAAGTTATCGTGCAGGTAGACCTCTCTAACAATAATTTTTATACCATATGCCATTCAGCCACTTCTTTGCAGCATGTGACTATAATGCAAAGTTCCATCTTGGTGTTGCTCATTTGTTTCTGTGAATTATGTTTGCAGGCAGAGAATGAACTGTCCCTGGCAAGAAAAATGGCAGAATGGAAACCCTGGGAACCTTTAATTGAAGAACCTCCTGCTAATCAGTGGAAGTGGCCAATTTAGTACTTCAAATCTGTGTAAATAAGTGTACAAAGTCATAAGGAAACATTGGATATCATGTTTTCATGTTTAAAAACAATAAAGAAAATTAACATTTTTATGTTGTGTAATTTGCTTCCCAAATATATAAATGAAACCAATGGGGCTGCACTCACCTGAACATGCGTACATTATATGTGAGAAGTCAATCTAAAATCAGATGTTGGAGAGTTATTTATTTCTACAACTCCGGATTCTCTCATGGATTTCTTTTATTTGTGTACGTTTCCTTTCTCTTGTTCGTGTGGTGAAATGATCTGGCATCTATGGTGGCCTAAATTATATTGAAATTCAACAAAATGTCACACGATGAGGCAAATGTAAAGCTGCAGTTATATAGCTTTTGGATTCCTTTGCCCCTGTATTTTCCAAAAATTTTGACCTGTGATAGAATAATCATATAAGCAAACAGTACATGGTTCAATGGATCTTGTGCTTAAAGGAACACTCCAAGGGTACCTTATCACTACAGTTTGATTGTGCTCTTTGTCATTTTAATAGCAAAATGCCTAACATAGTTTGAAATGGACAGAGGTTCTGAGTGACCTACCCCATCTTGGCTGCTTTTGTAATGCAGAATTAACATTTCTACATTATCAGCATCTGTCGTGAACTGCTTGAAAGACACCGATTGGCTGAGAGTGCTGGGCTAATAGTGAGATGGCAGTCCCTCTGCACAGGAAGACCCTAGATTTATATTAAACTGGTGTACGGAACTAAGACATGCAGGTTAATGTAGATTAGAGTGCCCCTTTAACAGATCATTTTAAGCACCATTAACACAATTTCTTACTGTAATGGTTGTGTTTCAAACAATCATTAGGTACTTTCCTCTTGTTTTTCATCAAACCATTTTCAAGTGACTTGACAAACATTCAAATTCTTAATGCTGGCTTGTGTATTATCCCTCAGATAATGCAGCAGGAACCTTCAGCATTGTCTAACTGGCATGTAAGGGACCATGCTTTAGATGCCGTGAGAGATCCGAAACATATGAAAAACAAACAAAATGGTGGATGACACCCAAAGATCTGTTGCATATATATTTTACAAAGAGCTGTATTAGTTGTAGTGCGTAGAAATGTATTATTAAATACAGTTTAACATAATCCCACTAGGTGGCAGTGTATAATCACAAAATTGGAAATACTGCCATTCTGTTTTTTCCATTCTCTGTAATTTAATGTTTAATTTAGACATTCAGCTCTAAATTAAACATTAAATTACAGTGAATGGCAATACAACTTGTGAAATTAAAGGATTTCTATTACCACAATGACCACATACACTTTGAGAAATGGTCATGGTGCAAGCATTCTGCTTTTAAGCTTAGGAGGTTACCTATACAGAGATGTTATTGAATTTGTGTCGGAGTTTAGGTACACCTCCAGCACACGTGACCTTGTCAGCCAGAAACTCTTGTTCCTGACTGACTAACGAATGTTCTGTGCATAACAAATTTGCTGTCAGTAGGTAATACCCATTGGTGAAGGACTTTAAAAGCTTCTCCTCTTACAGGCAAGTGTGCCTGCAGCTGGAAGGAGAAGCCTGTAGGACTGTGTGCACAAGGTCCATATAACTGGCTCTTTGTTAACTTGTCCCCTCCCTCCATTATACCTGCCCCGCCTCCCTACATTATGTTTTATAACTAATTTTTTCTCTCCCTTTGTCCACCCCCTTACAATTGTGCTGGCCTTGTCCCTCCCTCCTTGCCCTCTTCTGCTCTTGGATTGGGACATAGGTGGGCTGTAACGGCAAGATGAACTGCCACTCAATTCATCTCTCCACTCGTGAACGCACACACTATGCGATGCAGTGTTTACTGCCTTTAAGAAAGAAGCAATGGCTTGAATGCTTCTCCATCCAAATAAGCTGATTGGCAGGTCATGGTGCTCGGCATGCAGGCACCCAAGGTTTAACAATGCTTCTCTATGAGAAACATATGATTAGACCTCAGACAGGAAACTGGCTTGATGTTGAAGAAGGTTTAGAAAGCTTCTCGGATAACCTGGTCCGGCGCTGGATTTAATTATTATTATTTTTTTAAATGGAGGGGGCGTAAGTGACAAGTACTGAATAAGATAAAATAAAGTTTTAGTGCGGGTTGGAGTAACTTTCTAAGGCCACAATAGCTTTTAAAGCATTTTGACCATGGCCTGATCTCCCAGGAAAGTGCAATAGTATCTTAATTTGGGGATGGTCCTGACAGATCTGGGACAGATGGGAGGTATGATAAAGGACAACTGGCACCTCAACACTATTTTTTTATATACTGAACGTTTTATAAAATTTTGAAGGGAAATAGATTCTGTGTTAAATTAAGTGTATGTTCAAAATGAGCAAAACGTATCCTTATCGTTAGCCTAGGACAGTGTGAAAAACGCGTTGGTCTCTATGGTCTCTCCGTCTTCACTCCCTGCACAGAGCAGTGACATTATCCGACCAACTACCAGTCAAACGGCGTCTTATCCAAAGTGCATGTATATGGCTGAAGGATCCTGTCATATACTGAAGGTAGGGGTTTTTACATATATTTTTATTTAACAAAGAACCCATTTACTTTCAAAATGAAAGGGTCATTATGCAAAATTATAGTATTGAGATGACAGTTCTCCATTTAGGAGTTTATTGAATAAACCCCAACATCGATACTTTATTCTCCTGTCGCAGACCTGCCGGTTTTACCCTAGAATTACCCATTGGAAGTCACATGACACCTGCCTCACCTGATCCCTTCTTTCTCTGCTTGTGTGTGAGTAGTGGGAGTTTGCTTCCTGAAAGCTTTGTGGAAATCTGTCTGACTGTCAGACAACTGTTTATACTGCTATTTAATAAAGTGAGAATTCAAAGTGAATGTCATATGTAAGGGCGGAGTAGCTGAAATTAAATCATAGCTGACCAAATTATTATTGCAGGGGATCCCAACCCAGTCCTCAAGTACCCCCAGTCCAGGATTTTGGGATTACCCAGTTGTTTCTAGAAAGACACAGGGTAATCCCTAAATCCTGGACTGGCAGGGAGTATTTTAGGACTGGCTTGGGAACCCCTGCTATAGTGAATAACTCTGTTAATTAATTTTTGTTGTTACTGCTCCTTTAAAAAGCCACTCATTCATGCCATGCTAACTGTCAGCATTGTAATATCCTCTAATTCAATTTCTATGGGGGGTGTGTGTGTTACTGCAGCATAATCTCTAGTACTGTAAATCCCATCACTCGTAGCCAATCCACAGAATGCGTAAACTGACAGTATGCACCAACCATAACCACTCTATTTACAAAAAGTGTTTCATAATGTCATTTTATTTATATATAATATATTTAATACCTAACCTCATGTCAATATATTTCGTGCATTTTTATATTTGGGCACATTCTAAGTAATCTATTAATGCTGATTTAAATCCCAGTCCCAGAATGTGGCCATATAGCACGTGTTACATTGTATAGATATGATATCGGTTACTGATCTAGCAGGAGATACTTTGTATCCCACGTGACTCCCACCAGCACAGTCTCTCTCTCTCTCTCCCTGCAGCACTATGTCTTGACGACGGTTCGCGTCCGCCCATTCCGTTGCCCTGCAAACACATGCACGCGCACCCCTTAGGGGAAGCGCGCTCCCGCGGGCACGGTTGCTTTGGAGATAAATGGGGACAACATAGCATGCAGGACCCAGGAGACTCCAGATCCCACTGTGTGTGACCAGCCCTGCGATCAGGGGCCCTGAAACTGAGCCAGCAAGAAAGAGGGGGGCCAGTGACACCCCCAGAGTCAGACAGAGGTGGGTTACCAGCCCCAGCAAATGCCAAAAGTGGCATTTAAGTACTAACCCTATTAAGAAAGCCACAGAAATGACCCTGACATTAATTATAATAGATTTAATTATAAACAAGAATATTTAAAAAAATATATTTTATTATAAATCTAATTAAATTCTAATTTATTTATTCCCCCATAAAGTGTGATTTTTTCAATCATACAAATTTTAATTCAATTGAACTTTTTAAATTTCCTACTTACATATGATTTACACGTTTCAGAATAAGGCACAAAATGCCAAACTTTTACATTAATTAATATGACTTTAGTACTTTCTTACCCAAACTGACACAAAAGTGCAGGTAGGGACCTGAATAGGATGGACAGTACACTTTGAAATGCCAGATACATCCATTGCACATTGTCCATTGTATGTGAGAGAGAATTAAAACTGGAATTATTACTGAAACAAAATGTTTATCTGAATTAATTATTGTCTTCAAATACAATGTTTAATCTGTATATTTTTGTTACTAACATCACAGTTTGTGCGCATGTATACAAAGATACAAAGCTGTATTCCTGGCACTATCGCTCCCCTTCCTAATTTATTAGCACCGTGATGAGAGAACCAGGAAATGCTTAGACCCTTGATTTAATTACCCCCGGGGCCAAATGATTCCCCACCTGCAGTTCCAAGCTCCAAAGGATGCTCCTTGCCTGATCCCAAGTGTAAACCCTCTGGCTGGTTCTAGGACTACCTACCCCTAAATACCATAACCTATCCCTTAACTCCCAATCAGAAAAGCTGAGAGCGCCACAGCATCGGTTCACATCTCTGGATAATCTTAGCAAATCATTGTATTTACTGGTTTTATTATTATTTGTTTAAGAATATCGAAGGCAACTGTAGGATTTATTAGAGTGAATGGGCTTCATAGGGCAATAGTTTTCTTGAGAGAGGGAACTGGTGAAGTATTATGAGGTTAGTGGCCAGGGGCTTTGGGGTCCCTGACTACCCAATGGGAAGGGGAGGTTACACCTGACATCAGTGAACAAGTTATATATTTATTATTAGTCTTGGTTTATATAGCACCAACGTAAACTGCAGCCCTGTACAATATTATAAAGGGGGAAATGTAACAATAAATGAGACAATTACGAAATATTACAAGAACATTAGGTTGATGAGAACCGTGCTTGAAAAAGCTTACAATCTAGAACATGTATAACTATATTAGAACTACTTATATATTTAACAAGTCTTATATCATGGAAGAGATCTCTAATCTCTCTCCCTCCCCTTTCAATACATCACCCAACCCGACTCCCTCCGCTGTTCTATGCTCATTCACACGTCCTACAACGGAAGAGGTTTCTGCTCAGCTCTGGTCCTTCCGCACCACCACCTGTTCCCTCGATCACATTTCCTCATATCTCATCTGCACTCTGTCTCCCTCTATTGCTCTACCTCTCACTAAAATTTTAATTCTCTCCCTTTCCTCTGGCACATTTCCTTCACCCTTCAAGCATCCAACCATAACGCCAATTCTGAAAAAGCCCAACTTTGACCCCAACTCCCCATCCACCTACCGCCCTATATTGCTACTGCCATTTGCCTCCAAGATCCTTGAAAGCATTGTGTATGCAAGATTGACAGACTTCATCGAATCCAACTATCTGCTTGACCTGCTTCAGTCTGGATTCCGTGCTCGTCACCCTGTTGAAACAGCTGTGACCAAAGTATCCAACGATTTAATCGCTGCTAAATCTCACGGTCATTACTCAGTCCTAATTCTCCTTGATCTTTCTGCTGCCTTTGACACTGTTGATCATCAACATCTTCTTACCATTCTCTGTAATCTCGGTCTATGTGATACTGCTCTGTCCTGGTGCTCCTTCTACCTCTCCCAGCGCTTTTTCAGTGTTTCTTTCTCTGACTCTGCCTCTTCTCCCCAATCCCTCTCTGTTGGAGTTCCCCAAGGTTCTGTCCTACTCTATCTAAACTGCCTCCCTTGGTAAACTCATCAGCTCCTTTGGCTTCCATTATCATTTATATGCAGATGACACACAAATCTACCTGTCCTCTCCTGATCTCTCTCTGCCCATCTTGACTCGTGTCTCTGACTGCCTCTCCTCGATTTCCAACTGGATGGCTGCTCACTTCCTTAAACTTAACCTGTCCAAAACTGAACTTCTGGTCTTTCCTCCCTCAAGTGTTGCTATTCCTGTGTCTGTCTCCCTTCAAGTCAACGGTGCCACCATCACCTCTACCTCGCAGGCTTGCTGCTTGCTGCCTAGGTGTTCTCTTTGACTCCGACCTCTCCTTCACCCCTCATGTCTAGTCGATCGCCAAATCCTGTCGCTTTCATCTCAAAAACATAGCTCGCATCCGCCCCTATTTAACACCAGGCGCGGCTAAGGTGCTGGTCCATGCCGTTGTTCTTTCTTGCCTTGACTACTGCAATCTCCTTCTCAGTGGTGTTTTGTGTTCCCAGATTGCACTGCTACAATCTATAATGAATGCGGCGTCAAAGCTCATTTTAATGTCCGCACGCTCCTCCCACACCTCCCCCTCTGTCAGTCCCTACATTGGCTTCCAGTTAGATATAGGGCTCAATTTAGGATTCTGGTGCTTGCTTACAAGTCCCTACATAATGCTGCTCCAACCTACCTATCCTCCCTAATACACAAGTATGTCCAGTCAAGGCCCCTGTGCCTTGCCAAAGACCTATGTCTATCCTCTGTCTGTACTCCTACCTCTGATGCTTCTCCAGGGCTGCACCTTTTCTGTGGAACTCCCTTCCCTTCTTCGTTAGACTTTCACCCAGTCTCCACTCCTTTAAAAATTCTTTGAAAACACACTTCTTCAGGAAAGCATATCACTTAAACTGTTAGGGGGTTTTCACCCGTCTCTCCCCCTCATGAGTCCTCTCCTGCAGCTGTCAAAAATTACCTACTAAGTACTCAGTGAATACCTTTCTAGCAACCTATTTCATTACCTCTACTTATACCCTTTGTGTCACCATACCCCACTCCCTCGAGCATTTAAGCTCATTGAGCAAGGCCCTCAACCCCTCTGTTCCTGTGCGTCCATTTGTCTGGTTACAATTACGTGTCTGTTAGTCCACCAAATGTACAGCGCTACGGAATTTGCTGGCGCTATATAAATAATAAAATACTAATAATCATATGTTCTATTTAATTTTAGGAAATAAAATAAGAAAACAAAATTATCGGTCTTTATTAAATTAACTGATCTTGCTGATACTCTTTATGAATGCTTTTTTATTCTGCTCACTCTTTCTGTGTTGCATTATAAATAATTACTTTGTTTTATTCTATAGCACCCTCTTTAATGTGCAACATTCTTAAATGTTTAGTAGAAAAATATATAACAAAATCTTCCATTCTTTGTTAAAGTTAAAACCCTTATCTGGTTGAGCGTTAGAAGAATTTCTAAACAAAGATGGAGCATGATTTGACTTCTCAGAATGCAGATGTAGCACAGCAAACAGATGCTATCGAGGAGCCAGGTACAGATAAAATTATACAGGATTCTACAGGAGAAGAAAGTCTATTGGACCCAGAACAGCAGCAAAACCCTCAGGAAGAGGAACATGGAAGCTTCATCCAACCGTCACAGTTTGAAACTGAGGAGCAATTGCATGTGTCAGAAGAACAACCTGTTATTGATGAGGTAACAGGGGCAGGACAGGAAGAGCCAACTGCAACAGAGAAAGAATTGTTCATGGGACAGCAGACTTATAGTTCTGATCAGGAACATCATGGAGTAATATTAGAGCCGGAAGTAACTCCTTTAGAGCAGAACCTGGCAGCAGACACAGTATCTGAGCAAACAGGAGACCAAACAGATCAAGACTCAAGTACAGAACTTCCACAAACTGAGCAGATGGTCCCACTCGGTCCAGAAGCCAATTTAGAACAGTCTGAGGACATACCGGAGAAAGACAATGCATGTGCAAAACGTGAACTTGAAAATAATGGATCTTCAGAATTATCTAATTCTACAGCTACAGGTATGTCGCTCTTATAGCCATTCGCAGGTGGTTACTTTACAAAGGGCAATCTCAAACCAATTCATCATTAAAGGAACACTATATGGTCAGGAACACAAAAATGTATTCCTGACCCTATAGTGTTAAAAACACCCTCTTGCCCCCCTAAATATAGCAAAATCTTACCTTTATTCCAGTTTGCTGCTACTGGCTCTCAAGGAGGCAGATCAGGGGCAGAGCCAGCACAAGCCAAACACAGCCCTGGTCAATCAGCATCTCCTCGTAGAGGTGCATTGAATAAACGCATCTCTATAAGGAAAGTTCAGTGTCTGCATGCAGAGGGTGGAGACACTGAATGTCAGTCACATTATGCAGCACTGCCCCAGGAAGCACATCTAGCAGCCATCTCAGGAGCGACCAGTGGAGGTATCCCTAAGCTGTAATGTAAACACTGCATTGGCTATGAAAAGACAGCGTTTACTGCAAAAAGCCTGAAGGGAATGATTATACTCACCAGAACAAATGCAATAAGCTGTAGTTGTTCTAGTGACTAAAGTGTCCCTTTAAATCTGGATAAATCACTGTAATAAAATCCATATGTCACATTGCAAGTTAGTCAGTAAATAGTGCCATGTAAAAAAAAAAAAAAGTTATATTAAAGGAACACTATAGTCACCTAAATTACTTTAGCTAAATAAAGCAGTTTTAGTGTATAGATCATTCTCCTGCAATTTCACTGCTCAATTCACTGTCATTTAGGAGTTAAATCATTTTGTTTCTGTTTATGCAGCCCTAGCCACACCTCCCCTGGCTATGATTGACAGAGCCTGCATGAAAAAAAAAACTGGTTTCACTTTCAAACAGATGTAATTTACCTTAAATAATTATCTCTAATAATCTCTAAATTGAACTTTAATCACATACAGGAGGCTCTTGCAGGGTCTAGCAAGCTATTAACATAGCAGGGGATAAGAAAATCTTAATTAAACAGAACTTGCAATAAAGAAAGCCTAAATAGGGCTCTCTTTACAGGAAGTGTTTATGGAAGGCTGTGCAAGTCACATGCAGGGAGGTGTGACTAGGGCTCATAAACAAAGTGATTTAACTCCTAAATGGCAGAGGATTGAGCAGTGAGGCTGCAGGGGCATGTTCTATACACCAAAACTGCTTCATTAAGCTAAAGTTGTTCAGGTGACTATAGTGTCCCTTTAACCAGTGACACATCCCATGATTGATATTGTTATCCTTGATATTTCTGTAGCACATTTACCACGATATTCAACAAGCCTTAAAACTTGCAAAGCATCATGGGACATGAAGTTCGGAAACATCTGAGGTGCCAATGTTATTCCTCGCCAAAAGTGTTAGCTGTTAAATATCGAGCATAAAGTATGCAAAACATAGAGATCTGTAGAGACTGCAGATATATAGACATGCAAACGGCAATTCGTTTATGAACAAATTGATTCATTCGCAATAGAAATGCATAAATTTCGTTCAAAAGCATTTTTTCCATCTATGAAAGAAACAAATGGCAAATGAATCGATTTGTTCATAAATTAATTGCTGATTGCAACATTTCAAATATATATATGTTTTCCTGAGAATTTACTTCCCAGGTTCACGTTATTAAGGACGTGTGATCTCTATTTTAGGCTCTGTTCCACCTTTTTAACCTTATGTCCTTCTTTTCCAGGTGCTCCATATTTTTGGTGTGTCTGAGTGTATCACAGAGCTCCACAACAATAATACTCCCAGTAATGTGTCTGAGTGTATAACAGAGCTCCACAGCAATAATACTCCCAGTAATGTGTCTGAGTGTATAACAGAGCTCCACAGCAATAATACTCCCAGTAATGTGTCTGAGTGTATAACAGAGCCCCACAGCAATAATACTCCCAGTAATGTGTCTGAGTGTATAACAGAGCTCCACAGCAATAATACTCCCAGTAATGTATCTGAGTGTATAACAGAGCTCCACAGCAATAATACTCCCAGTAATGTGTCTGAGTGTATAACAGAGCCCCACAGCAATAATACTCCCAGTAATGTGTCTGAGTGTATAACAGAGCCCCACATCAATAATACTCCCAGTAATGTGTCTGAGTGTATAACAGAGCTCCACAGCAATAATACTCCCAGTAATGTGTCTGAGTGTATAACAGAGCTCCACAGCAATAAAACTCCCAGTAATGTGTCTGAGTGTATAACAGAGCCCCACAGCAATAATCCAGGTGCTCCATATTTTTGGTGTGTCTGAGTGTATCACAAAGCTCCACAACGATAATACTCCCAGTAATGTGTCTGAGTATATAACAGAGCTCCACCACAATAATACTCCCAGTAATCTGTCTGAGTGTACAACAGAGCTCCACAGCAATAATACTCCCAGTAATGTGTCTGAGTGTATAACAGAGCTCCACAGCAATAATACTCCCAGTGATGTGTCTGAGTGTATAACAGAGCTCCACAGCAATAATACTCCCAGTAATGTGTCTGAGTGTATAACAGAGCTCCACAGCAATAATACTCCCAGTAATGTGTCTGAGTGTATAACAGAGCTCCACAGCAATAATACTCCCAGTAATGTGTCTGAGTGTATAACAGAGCTCCACAGCAATAATACTCCCAGTAATGTGTCTGAGTGTATAACAGAGCTCCACAGCAATAATACTCCCAGTGATGTGTCTGAGTGTATAACAGAGCCCCACAGCAATAATACTCCCAGTAATGTGTTTGAGTGTATAACAGAGCTCCACAACGATAATACTCCCAGTAATATGTCTGTGTGTATAACAGAGCTCCACAACGATAATACTCCCAGTAATATGTCTGTGTGTATAACAGAGCTCCACAGCGATAATACTCCCAGTAATGTGTCTGTGTGTATAACAGAGCTCCACAGCAATAATACTCCCAGTAATGTGTCTGAGTGTATAACGGAGCTCCACAGCAATAATACTCCCAGTAATTTGTCTGAGTGTATAACAGAGCTCCACAGCAATAATACTCCCAGTAATGTGTCTGAGTGTATAACGGAGCTCCACAGTAATAATGCTCCCAGTAATGTGTCTGAGTGTATAACAGAGCTTCACAGTAATAATAATCCCAGTAATGTGTCTGAGTGTATAACAGAGCTCCATAGCAATAATACTCCCAGTAATGTGTCTGAGTGTATAACAGAGCTTCACAGTAATAATACTCCCAGTAATGTGTCTGTGTGTATAACAGAGCTCCACAGCAATAATACTCCCAGTAATGTGTCTGAGTGTATAACGGAGCTCCACAGCAATAATACTCCCAGTAATGTGTCTGAGTGTATAACGGAGCTCCACAGTAATAATGCTCCCAGTAATGTGTCTGAGTGTATAACAGAGCTTCACAGTAATAATACTCCCAGTAATGTGTCTGAGTGTATAACAGAGCTTCACAGCAATAATACTCCCAGTAATGTGTCTGAGTGTATAACGGAGCTCCACAGTAATAATGCTCCCAGTAATGTGTCTGAGTGTATAACAGAGCTTCACAGCAATAATACTCCCAGTAATGTGTCTGAGTGTATAACAGAGCTTCACAGTAATAATACTCCCAGTAATGTGTCTGAGTGTATAACGGAGCTCCACAGCAATAATACTCCCAGTTCTGTGTCTTCAAACTACAATAAATGTGTTTAGAAATCAGTTTATGTAAATAAGATAGTTTGATTCCATTTTCTAAATTCCAGTTACATAAATAGGTATCACTAGGCCATGAAGGTGCCTAAAAGCCCCACCCTGACCACAACTTGAGCCCATTCTCTGAAAATGTTCCTTATTGAATTTATCTGAAGTGATATCAGGGTCTAGATCAACCCAGCTGTGAATGTGTAGTTAAAATAAATTCTTTAACCCCTTCAGGACGGGTGACGGACGAGGTCCATCACACAGGGGAGACCCTTAACGACGGGTGACGGACCTCGTCCGTCACGCGGTAAAATTAACCCCGGATCGCCGCTATCGCGGCGATCGCGTGGTTAATGGTGCTCCCGGTATGCCTCTGCATTAGAGGCATACCGGGAGCACCCGGTCAAGCTGCCCAGCACATGTGCTCGCTCTGACCGCAAGTCTGAGCGAGCACATGTGCTCTCTATACTCACCTACCGGCTCCCTGCACTTCCGGGTTCTGTGTGAAGTGCAGGGAGCCGGATCAGTGCTGATCCTGCCCCCTGCTGGAAAAAAAAATAAAGTTTATTTAAAGTCCCCCTTACCCATTTTAATAAAAAATTAACCCCTTCCCTGCCAATTGATCACTGACTACAGTGATCAATTGGCAGGGATTACATTTTACTATGATCTGATTTTTTTTTTTAACCCCTGAGGGTTAATTTTTTTTTTTTTAACCCTCAGGGGTTAAATTAATTAAATTAATTAATTAAATTATTTTTAAATTATATATTTAGATAGCTGGGGTAGGTGGAAGTTAGTGGGGAATTGGGGGATTTGACGTTAGGCTAACTAGGGGTTAACGTTAAAAAAAAGTTTTAAAAGAAACTTTAAAAAGTTAAAAATTAAGCTTAAAAAAAATGTTTTAATAACATTTAAGTAATAAAAACAAAAAAACACACTTTACCTAGTCCAAATAAAAATTAACCCCTTCCCTGCCAGTCGATCACTGCCTACAGCGATCAAATAGAGATCACAGTATTATACTGTGATCTAATTTTTTTTAACCCCTGAGGATTAACTTTTATTTATTTTTTAACCCTCAGGGGTTCAATTTATTTAATTAATTAATTTAAATATTTTATAACTATATATTTTGCTAGCTGGGGTGGGTGGGAGTTATGGGAAAATGGGGAATTTACTGTTAGTGCTGCGTACTGCTAGTTAGGGGTTAACAGTAAAAAAAATAGCTTAGAAAAATGTTAAATCTGTAAAAAAGTTTTAAGAAAGTTTAGGAAAGTTTAAAAAAAATTTATAAGCAAAACAAAAGTTTAAAAACTAGTTTTTAAAAGTAAAAAGTTATAAAAAGTAAAAAAATACATTTTAAAAACGCTCATTACCACTACACCTGGAACAAACTAGAGAAAAAATTATCCCACGCCAAGGTTCAAAATATGCCTTTTGAATTACCCCAGGGTGTATTCTTTAATAAATAGTATGTGTTTGTGGGGAAGTCTCAATAACCAACCGTCTAAACTATTCCAAATTGGAACATGGACACAGCGTAAAACTTCAAAGTTAGAAAAAAACTGAATGGCTGCGTCTCAAATGCGCCCCTTCAACATCCACATATACCTGGCAAAGGTACATACGGGGGTATTGCTGTACTCAGCCGACATAGCTGAGCAACATATGAAGTATTATACAGTCATAGTACACATAAGGTTTGCAAAATATGCTGCGCAAACTCACTTTGTATGTCAAAAAGGCAGAAAAAATGCTTATTACCACTACACTTGGTACAAGCTAGCGGAAAAATGATCCCACACTAAGGTTCAAAATATGCCTTTTGAAATACCCTGGGATGTCTTCTTTAAGAAATGGTATGGCTTTATGGGGAATTTGGATTATATAGCCTGGTAAAATACTCTAAAATGGGACATAGGCACAGCATAAAAATTCAAAGTTTGAAAAAAACTGGAATGGCTGTGTCCCAAATGTGCCCCTCCGATGTCCACACATACCTGGCAAAGGTACATACGGGGGTATTGCTGTACTCAGCCGACATAGCTGAGCAACATATGAAGTATTATACAGTCGTAGCACACATAAGGTTTGCAAAATATACTGTGCAAACTCACTTTGTATGTCAAAAAGGCAGAAAAAATGCTTATTACCACTACACTTGGTACAAGCTAGCGGAAAAATGATCCCACGCTGAGGTTCAAAATATGCCTTTTTGAAATACCCTGGGATGTCTTCTTTAAGAAATGGTATGGCTTTATGGGGAATTTGGATTATATAGCCTGGTAAAATACTCTAAAATGGGACATAGGCACAGCATAAAAATTCAAAGTTTGAAAAAACTGGAATGGCTGTGTCCCAAATGTGCCCCTCCGATGTCCACACATACCTGGCAAAGGTACATACGGGGGTATTGCTGTACTCAGCCGACATAGCTGAGCAACATATGAAGTATTATACAGTCGTAGCACACATAAGGTTTGCAAAATATACTGTGCAAACTCACTTTGTATGTCAAAAGGCAGAAAAAACGCTTATTACCACTACATCTGGTACAAGCTAGCGGAAAAATGATCCCACGCTAAGGTTCAAACTATACCTTTTGAAACACCCTGGGGTGTCTACTTTAAGAAATGGTAGGCCTTTGTGGGGTAGATTGAATTTAAAACCTGCGAAGATGCTTGGAAATTGCACATAGGCCCAGCGTCAAAATTCAAAGTTTGGTAAAAACGGATATGGCTTGGTCTCCTATATGGCACTGTAGCTTCACAAAATAGTGACAAAGACATTCATTGGGGTGTATTTTTACTCAAAAGACTTAGCTGAGCATAATTTGGGAGGTTTGAACTTAGTGGCACATATGAAATATACAAAACGCCCAGCAAAAATGCAATCCGTATGTAAAAAATGCACAAAATAATTTTTTACCACATACTTTGGCATATATTGGTGAAAAAATGGGGGTATGTTAAGGCACAATATGCACCTTATGAGATACCCTGGAGTGTCTACTTTTACAAATGGTAGGCCTTTGTGGGGGTTTTTTGAACAGTCAAACTGTTATAATACCCCAAATGGAAGCTAAGGCTCATTAAATCCGTCTCTCAAAATTCTACTGTGAATACTGTAAAGGACAGGTCTCCTATATGGCACTGTAGCTTCACGAAATAGTGCCAAAGACATTCATATGGGGTGTCATTTTACTCAGAAGACTTAGCTGAGCATAATTTGGGGGTTTGAACTTAGTGGCACATATGAAATATACAAAACGCCCAGCAAAAATGCAATCCGTATGTAAAAAATGCACAAAATTATTTTTTACCACATACTTTGTCATATATTGGTGAAAAAATGGGGGCATGTTAAGGCACAATATGCACCTTATAAGATACCCTGGAGTGTCTACTTTTACAAATGGTAGGCCTTTGTGGGGTTTTTTGAACAGTCAAACTGTTATAATACCCCAAATGGAAGCTAAGGCTCATTAAATTCATCTCTCAAAATTCTACTGTGAATACTGAAAAGGACAGGTATCCTGTATGGCACTGTAACTTCACGAAATAGTGCAAAAGACATACAATGGGGTGTCATTTTACTCAGCAGATGTAACTGAACACAAAATAAAACTTTGTACAGGAATAGCACACACCAACTTTACAAAATATACACGAGAATTTCTCTGTTATAAGTTTGTGTGCCAAAAACCAAAAAGAACACAATTTTACTCCAATATTTAGCAGAGGTTGGCGGTGAAATGGCTACGTAGAAAGTGTCAAAACAACCTTAGGTAAATAGCCCGTGATGTCTACTTTATATAAATATATACTTTTGTGTGGCAATTTTGTTTTCTTTTATGGCTATTAAGCTTACAAGACAAACATACCAAATTCTAAAATCGCTCCACATTAAAAGTTTATTTTACTCCTTGTGCTTTGTGACCTGTAACTACCAAAAAAAACTTAAAATCCCAGACACATTATATATTCTGTAAATCAGAACAAATAAATAAATTTATTTTTAATTACTTTCCTTAACCTGCACTAATTATGCACACATTATTATTGCAAAAACTGTAAAAAAAAACAATATTTTTCATTTTTTTTGCATTTTTCTGTATTTTTTTTATAATAAGTAAGCATTTATATATATATATGTTATATCAAATTAAAGCCCTTTCTGTCCTTTAAAAAACAGTATATAATATGTGTCGGTGCAATAAATGAGAGAGATGCAAATTGCAGTTGAACGCAAACAGCAAGAAAATGCAAAAATTGCTTGTGTCATTAAGCGTAAGTCAAGCTTCTGAAGCTGTGTCCTTAAGGGGTTAATCTTCTAAAATACCACCCATATGTTAATGATGCCTGCAGTAGAGGGGTTTAATGTTAAAGGGGACTTTGGGGGTAACTGCTTTGAAGATGCTCTGGGTGGTAACTCCCACAATACTTAGCCAATCTGTACTCTTTTAGAGATGCATACTATAATTTGTTTTAATATATTTTTCAGTTAAGGTTATGCTGGTTCCTGATGGTCAAGTGGTTACCATGGCATTTTCTATTGGATATTCTGTACAAAACCTTAAAAACTACTTTGCTGCCGAGATGAAAATACCTGAAACCGTCATTCGGATAACGTTTGAAGGTATGTCATATAATTTTGGCATATTGTGATAATAAAAGCACTTTGATTGTTCTGCTGAGTCCTGTTTTGCTTTTGAATTTCCAGTTTTCAAGGATAATGTTGCACTCTAACTTGAAAGTACTTTCTTTTAAAGGAACATTTAATAAAAACAAACTGTATTCCTAAAGTTAGAGTGTTGTTCTATCTATTTAGATAATGTAAAAGGTGTTTTACTTACCTTATTTCCCCCCAGAAAGCTGCCACACTTCCAAAGAATTAGGAGTGTTAGTACGCATGTGCAGCAATCACCATGCTGTGCCAAACAGCATCTCCTCACAGAGCTGCATTGAATTAATGCATCTCTTTGGGGTGCATTCAACGTCTTCTTGCAGAATGGCAGATGCCACTAATAAATGATTGCAGGACCTCATCCAGAAAGTCCATCTAGTGCAGGGTTGTCAAACTCGTTTGTTCCAGAGCGCCAAACTGTCCACTGAGATAGGTATGGAGGACCAAATGCATAAAATCTATATGCACACACACGCGCAAACAAGATGCATACATACTGAGATGCATACATACTGAGATACATACACACACACACAGACACACACACACACACACACTGATACATACAAACACCTTGACAGATACACACATAAATGTACTAATTGTAATGTTTGCAGCCACCCTCCTGTTAGCATACCTTTTGTGTCCAACCATTCCTGGCGTACTGCTGCTATCTGAGATCGATGGGAGTGAGTGCGGGGGTCAGCAGCAGCTGGTGCCTCCTCCTCCTTCCTCCCGCACGGCGCTTTCTTACAAAGCTGGGAGGAAGTGATAGGCTGTCACTTTCTCCCAGGCAGCCGAAGCACATGGGCCTGATTTATGCTCTTAAAAGGCCCCTGTTCAGCAATAATACACATCAGGTGGCCCTAAAGCTATTGGCCACCCGATGGCCCCCAAAGCATGTAGACTGTTGTTCCACCACTTATATACACTTTACAAGCAGATACACACGTATAACTAAGAACTAACATATTTTAGCTAACATTTTAGCTCCCCCCCATCCCACTCTCCTGTGTGTGTGACTGCTACTGCCTCCCCGCACGGCTCTCATAAGCTGGGAGGGAGTGACCTGAACTCACTTCTTCCCAGCATGTTGCAGGCGGAGGGTGGACTAACACTGTGACAGGGGCACGGTCAGGTGCATGCCGTATTGTGGGGATATTTATGGGATAATAATAGTAACAGTGAGAATTGCCCACTAATTCAATTCTCAGATCCCAAAGAACGTTTATCGTGTTAAGTGGAATGTATTTCATATAATTAATATTCACGATTTGTTATAAAAATAGATTTATTTATAATAACAAGTTAATTAATAATAACATGTAACATGCATGACAATAATCAATGAATATTCAGTATAAAATGGTATGCAATACAAAGAAATGGGTATTACGTTTCAATGGCTAAACGGCATTATCTGTCAAGACTTCTACGATTTATGACTAGCTTTCACAGACTGAAAGTGAAACTTTTCACAGGGAAGAACAGAATTCCTCAGAATGCAGCGTAAGGTCGTAAAGTTTAACAGACAGTTAGAATAACCCTTTCAATGCTGGCTAGATCTCCTAGGTAATTAAGATCTATTCTTATGTAATTTTTAAATAAAATAACATTTAAACCAGTTCATTAGTCATTTCCTGAAACCATCCAATAAGAGAATCTACCATATTATATAAGCAGATTTTCATTTTAATTTGTCTAAAAGATATCTTATCTTAATTTAGAGCAAATCAATACACCTGGATAAAAACAGCGGTATGCTAACACGTGATAATATCACATCAATATATAATTATTCTTAATTCCACCTGCAGAATGGAATGTTTATAACTATATATTCTTTAGTTAACTAAGATTTCTTAATATGGAAATCTGACTGTGCTTTATCCAGTCATATATAATGCTATTAATACATTTTAATTAATTTAATTAATTAAATGAAACCAGTATAATTACCAGTTGAGTAGATATTTCATCCGATTGGTAGTCTCAGGAACTTATTTGGATGTCTCTCTGCATGGAGGTTGGAGTCCCCAAACTTCCAATTCCTCTCTCCTCTTTTTCTTTGCATATCTCTTGGATCTGCTCTCCTCGCATCTCTCTATCTTCCCTTTGTCTTAACTTTTAAAGGGCCAGACTCTCTGTACGTCATCAGATGATAACCCAATAGAAGCACTAGAGGTGTGGTTATCTTCCAGATCGCAAATTAGTTATTTGGTCTGTAGAGGGCAGTCTTGTCCCACTAAACATACCTATCCAGGAAAGAGTTAACTTTTCCTGGTGGCTATTTTGACGTCATTTTGCTTATCTCAAATGACCACTATAACTTACGTATCCTTCAAAGATCAAAGGGTTTCTTAAATTTTGTCCAGACTATGTGTCTGGCAATTCCTGCCATAATTTCTGATATGGCAGATCATGAACTAAGTTTACCCTTTTCCATACAATGGTACCTTATACATATAGACAGTTAAATATTAAATTATTTAATCTTCTCTGTCACAATTGTCTGGGTTTAGATTTGATTATATTCTTCTTATCACTTGTTTATACTATGCATTCCTTAGCTCTGGCAAAGAGGCCAGTCTTACAGAAAGAAATCTTGTGTCTTTTTTTTTTTGTTAACTTGGAATAACAAAATGGAGTCTGGTCTGTTCAGAGTGACTCAGAATATACACTTTTAGTTTCTATCATAGCACAAAATGTCTGCCGATATAAATACTCTGACATAACCCCCCTTTAGTGCATTTCATAGCCAAAATTAATTTAGCTTATGAATAAGCACTATAGAAGTTACCAGACATATTGTGCAATCACATCATTTCTAACATCGGCCCGTGCGTGGAATGAACATTTTTGTATATATTTGTACCTGTAAGAGTTTTGAACTTTACACTTAGTACAATCAACCATAATATCATTATTACATAGTACATTATTTTCATTTGAAAAATGTCTTTGAGAGTTACATATGGTATGGCCAATAAAAAGGAAATCTCCATACGTTCCGGATCAATTAAGAGAGGTATAGCGCTCCCCATCTCAAAGACCAGATTTAATTGCATAGGCTCAATTGTCTTTCCATCCACATTGGCAAGCATCGCATGAACAATATCCTTGGATACAAAATACAGAGGTATGCGTCCCCCTGCCAATTCGATCATTCCAGTTTGCACTTCGTCAAGAAAAGCAAGTGTGTGGAACAATATTGGGTCATGCAGAAATAGAAGTTCACGCTTAAATAAGTCATGACTTTGGTGCAACTCAGTGGATTTGGCAATTAACTCCGAATGCAAATTTGTTGTAACAACTGTGTCTTCCACAATAGTTAACATGTCTTGGAGAAGTGTTCTTTGCTGGTTTATCACCTGATGAATATCGTTAATGTGTTGCTTTAGCGCATAGATTTCCATATCCAGCTTTTGGACAGTAATAGAGTTGGCTGCAGACATTCCAGTTGCGACAACTGCACCGACAGTGGCACAAACTAATGCAACAATTATAGCGGTGAGGAACCTTTTGGGTCGGTTGCTCATCGGAATAGAACTGGATACAAATGGTTTCCGGGCTTGCTCCAAGATGTTTCGCACACGGTCCTGTGCTCTTTGGAGGTGCATCTGGTACCAAGTCTGTAACTCAGGAAGCTGCATCGATGAAATGTTGTATGCCTTCTCGATGGAAATCTTGGGGTCCAAGCTGACGAACACACGTCGGGTCAGGATCCTCTTCTCTGTCAAGATGAACCCTGGTGTCTCTTGAATCAGGATGCCGGAGGATGGTCCCATCTCTGCGATCGGGTCGGTCCGTAGCTCTTGGCACAGGAGCAGTATGATCCAGAAACACGCCACATCCTTCTTGGACATCTTTCGACAGTCACGGATCAGGAACTCGTTTCAGACTTATCTACTAATGATTCAAGGTTTGTTAAGCATACAAACTTATGACAGTGTGACATCACTTGGCCTAGGACAACACATTATTACGATTCATCAACATATGTATTCTGTCTAATTCTATTTTTATAACTTCATCCCTCACTACATTTATTACTGACTCTTCAGTAATTTGCCTATAGCATTTAAACAAGCTAGTAACCTGCTTATAAAATGTAGTTATTGGATGGCAAGGAAATGGTTAATGACATGAACGTACATGAGATCATGGCACATCACAACATTTCACATCATACTATACCACGTGAATCAAGCATTCATCCAGGTTAGTCGTTCACCCTTCTGCGTCTGAATCCACACCTATAATCCTTAATTGAGATTTAGGATGACAAGCACGCAACTGGTTAATGTGAACCCACTTTTCAATAAAATCACCATCCTTAGGAATTTTTATCTTATACGCTACTGGGGAAATTTTGTCAATGATGACATATGGCCCTTTCCAAGAAGGTAAAAATTTCTTTTCCTTGACTTGATTTCGCGCAAAGTTATACAGATAGACTTGATCTGTTATCTCATATTCCTTTTTCGTGGTTTTTAGATCGTAATAGGTCTTAACCCCTGTCGCTGCTTTTTCTAGATTCTTTTGGGCAAAAGCAAACGCATGCTGTAAATGCTTGCGCAAATCTTCGATATACTGATGCGTAGTGGCAGCATTGATCAAGTTATGATCTGAAGTACGATATAGTAAATGCTGTGGTAAAACCATCTTTCTTCCTGTCATCAATTCAAAAGGTGACAATTTGGTAGCAGTGCTAGGTGTGGCTCTAATCACCATTAAAACTAGGGGCAATTTAATGTCCCAGTCTTTACCAGACTCCTTAACATATTTCTTCAGAATATTAACGATAGACTGGTTATATCGCTCTACCCCCCCGCTAGACGCAGCGCGGTATGCAATATGTAGCTTTCGTTTAACACCTAGAATGTTCCACATCTTAGCCATTACTTCACTGGTAAAGTGACTACCTCTGTCTGACTCAATTCTTTGAGGCAGACCGAACCTGGAAAAGACATGGTTAATCAACAAAGTGGCGCACACGGTACTCGTGTTCTCTTTACAAGGCAAACATTCTATCCACTTTGTGTACATACATGTAACAGTTAACATGCATTTGTTACCTCTTGAAGATCTTGTTACAGGACCTATAAAGTCAATTTGAATATCAGACCAGGGTAATGACACCCCCCTCTTCTGAAGTGGTGCACGATGGGTTGGACCATGGGGTTGATATTGCGGACAAATCAAGCATCCCTGACAGTATGTCTTAACATCCCTTAACATGTGTGGCCAATATGCATAATCACGCAATATCTCATATGTGATCTTATCACCACGATGCCCAGATGTAGGTGCATCATGTGCGTGTTGGAGCATTAACCCTCTGTATACAGTTGGGACTACCCATTGTTGTATACCATGTTTAGAAGTTTTGACCAGTAACCCATCCATGATACTAAATTGGACTTTATATCTCATCAAGATTCGTAAATCTTCATTATCTTTGCAATCCTCATCTGTGATGGGATTGGCAGTAGGGTCTTCTATATGTCTATAGAATATGCCTATGACGGGATCATTCTTTTGACTGGTAATCAGGTCCTCACTAGGAGCTTCTTGACTCCATTGCACGACATTTAAGTCGGCATTATCTCTAGCCTGTCGTCTAGTTATGGCTTCAACATGAATTGAACCCATAAGATCATCAATGTTTAGGGTTTCACCATTGATGGCAGCTTGTTTTGCCAGTGAATCGGCTAAGTCATTACCATCCTTGTCAATACCTTCTATTTTAGAATGGCCTTTGGTTTTCTTCCAATATATGGTTAAACCATTTTCCTTAACCAACTCATCGATTTTACAAAACAATTTTCCATGTTTAACAGGTTTGTTATTGCTTTTCAGCATTTGGTTACGTTTCCAGCTAGGCAGATATTCGATGAAACTGTTGCGAACATAGTTGGAATCAGTTATGATAACGAATTCTTTGATACTATATTCTATTGCCATTTGAATGGTCTTATATACTGCACAGAGTTCGGCTATCTGACTGCTTTTGGGACCAATATTGTATCCTATAGATACATTGGGATAATCACCTATCCAGGCGATTCCGATACCTGCAACTAACTTCCGTTCAGCACCAGCGACGTGGTGATATGAACAACCATCAATGTATACCCACGGTAGTGGTCGACAGTATTCCTCGTCATAAACTTTATAAGGAGATAGCAATTGCTCTTCTAGGAAGTCATCTCCGGTGTCATTATCATCCAGAGATGGAGCAGTACAGTCATGTAATTCTGCTAAACCTTGGGCAACTGTGCTTCTCTTATTATGTTTATAACGGACTTCTAACGGCCATCCCTGTAAGGATAGAGTCCATGCAGTAATCCGACTGTTAGAGAGATTACCGTCTCTAATTCTTTCACTCTGCAGATACTGTAGAGGTTGGTGAGCTGTTTCTACAATTATTTTCTCACCTTGGATATAGCTACGAAAATTTTGTAGTGCCCAGACAGTCGACAATAACGCCTTCTCACACGTGTTGAATTTAACTTCAACAGGTGACAAAGTCTTGCTAGCATATGCAATAACTTTGTTTAAACTGTCCTGCTTCTGATACAGAACAGCACTAATGCTTAAATCGGTATATCCTGTCTCCAGATAGAAGGGTTTACCCCCCTCTGGGTATGCTAAACAGGGTGCCTGAGTGAGCTTCCTCCTCAGTTCACTTACCGCTTGGTCCTGAGGCTCCCCCCAGTTCCAGGTAGTTTCCTTTTTAAGCAGGTGTAAGAGTGGTTTAGTTATTTCTGCATAGTTATCTATAAACTTACGGGAGTAGTTAGTCATACCAAGGAACGATCTTAATTCCCTGATGTTTGAAGGTGTTTTAGCCTTGAGTACGGCTTCAACCTTCTTCCTTTGGGGATTTAATCCTTCAGAAGTTACTTCATGTCCGAGGAAATTGACATGGGTGCGACACCATTGCGCCTTTTGTAAAGACAGTTTAATCCCTGCCTCTCTTAACTGAGTGAGAACATGTCTAATCTCTAAGATATGCTTATCAAAGGAAGTGCTTTTCAGCAAGACATCGTCGACATATGATAACGTTCCTCTCTCGAGTGCGTCAGGCATAGCTTTATGCATGAACACAGCGAATTCATGACCAGAGTTTATGTAACCGAAAGGCATACGGTCCAGGTATACTGCTGCTTTCCAAATGTGAAGGCCAATTTGTATTGGTCTTCATTATGAACTGGTACAGTCCAATATCCCTGCGCACAGTCAATGGCAGTGAATATTTTGGATCCCTGCATTTGTACCAAACATTGGTCTATGTATGGTGTTGGCCAACCAGACATATAGATGCGTTTATTTAGCTGTCGTAAGTCAGCGCATAAACGCCATTGTCCATTAGGTTTCAGAATCCCCAAGATCGGATTATTATACGAACTGTGCACTGGACGTATAATGCCCCTTTCCTTTAAATTCTGAATGATGTCTTGTAGACCATCATATGACGCTAATGGGAGTCTATATTGTTTGATAAATACAGGTGGTAAATTTGGATCAGTTTGTATTCTGGCTACGTGGAGGTTAGTTAACCCACAATCGTAGGAATCTTTGGCAAAAATATCTTGGAATTCCAAAAGGATTTCCTTTAGCTGTTGCCGCTCAGCATCGTTGGAGCAACTGTCAGCTAAAGATATTTGCTCTTCTAGCCTTTCCTGAAATCCTGGAAAGATTTCAGGCTGGCCTATCTCATAAGCTTCTTCAAGCCTAGAAGTTAGGTCAGTTCGGTGTTGACTTACCTTTTCTCTTTGGTCGTGATACTCTTGTGATTCCTGCTCATTGAGCGGATGATCGAAGGTGATAGATGCTTCTTCGATTTTACATGAGCCTTCTTCAACGTTGAAGGGATATACAGATAGGATAGTGAATAATCCTTCTGGGGAGGAATGGAATATTTGATTGACAATTTCGTCCTCAGTTAAGTATTCTTCAGGGATGAGGCCTATAATTTGGTTTTGGAAACCAAATGTATAGTACTCAGCATCCAATGCTAGACCTAATAATGTTCCTTTTGGTAAAGTAACACTATTGGGTGTAACATTGTTGACCATGATATAGGTGGGATTCTTACCAATACTTACCATTGGTGTATGTGTTACCACCATCCCTAATTGTTGTATCCTGTTGGATAAACAGATTAGGGCATCAGAGTTTTCTGATCTCTGACCCTCCTTGACCTGTAGGGGTAAAAGAAAATTACTTGTCCCCTGTGGAATGGTTATGTCATCAGGAACTTGGATACTTACCGCATATGGGAGTATTTGTCCTGATTTCAGGGCGTTTTCCTCGTGTAGGTATCCACAAGGATTACCTTTTAACCTTGTCCACAAATTGGAATTAATCAGATCAAGGTGTATGGCAAAGCGATGTATGACATCATTGCCAACGTAAACCTGATAGCGAGGTTCGTTTATCACTAGGAATAAATGTTTAACTGTCTTATTTCCGATGGAAATAGATAGTAAACATTTTGCTATCACATTGTGACTCTCTGATTCGCCATCCAGATTCTGGATCCACCTGTCATGTGGGGAAGCATACCTGATCATTTTAGGATTAGCGATCTGCTTTAACAGACTTCTGCTAATATAGCTGTTCTCACTCTTGAAGTCTAGCTTTGCATTCCTACTTCTTCCTAAGTCATGTATTTGCATAGGAAAGAATAAATTGTTATTAACCCTTTCAATTCTGGCAAGGAATTGAGCATGACCTGCCAGATCTACAGATTCAACATAGTCCCTGTGGAGAGAAATGGTTAAAACATCACCTTCCAGAGAGACATTCTGGATCCTCTCTGGAGCAATTCTTACGGAATGCTCATCTACAGGTGCGATTGCATCATTCACCTGCAGGATAGTCACGTCAGGTGACTGACTATTTCTAAAATGTACCTCAATTGAGTCAGGTCTTTCTTCTATCATATGGCAGTTACGATCAGATCGAACATGTGATTTCTCATAGGTTATGGGAACCTTAGCTTGTGACCATACAATTCCATTTACACAGTCAATAATCGTGTTAAGTCTTCTAAGTATGTCTATACCCAGAATCAGTCGGTCATAGGGGAGATCTACCACTATCACCGGGTGTCTAAAGGTTTTGTTACCTATTTTAAACTTTAACCAGGTATTGCCAATAACATGAAGGGCATTTCCTCCTACACTCAACAGAGCATTGGGGAAACCTCTTAGCTTCGGCTTATCCGTTGCTAAGTCCATTACCTGCTGGAAGTAGGTATTGGATAAGATAGTGGCTTGTGAACCAGTATCTATTAACCCTTTAAAAGGCTGGGGTAACGAATCCTGTATTTCTACAGACATGTAGTACCTTCCTTCATGTTCTTCTAATTCACATAAGAATTTAGAATGTGTCAACATATTACTTGTTTTCCATACATTACCGGTCACAGCAGTAGTTTCTACCTGTACTGAGGAATGCTCAGTCTTACCCACAGGCCCATCCTTTTTAGGAACATCTTGAACTGTCAAGCGGGAACTAGTGGTCGGCATCTCATCAGTTAACCCTTTCAGGTCTGGATCCTGGAAACTAGTGGCTGCTGGGGCTATTTTAGCCTTTGGCTGAAATGAAAAAACAGAGGAACACGTCGCGCCTCCTTCACCCGGAAGTGAAGTGACGGTATAGGCAATAGGTTTTCTAACACAACTATTGTTTGTTTGACTGTTAGTACTTGGAAAGGAAACAGGGTTAGGTATTACATCTACTGATAACCTAGCCTGTTTAGTCACAGTAGCTATTATTGCTGCGGCACCTGTTGTTGTTGCTGCGGTTGCACAGGTAGTTCTGCAATTGGAGCTATCCCTAAAAAAGGATTTGTGGCCAAGACTTGGTTAATCTTTGTAATTTCCTCCATTAATTTGCCCATCTGGTCTGTCAATTGACCAACCTGATGACGCAAATTATTTCCCCCATTGCCGTTTTGTCTTTGCCCATTAGAATTTGGCTGGGATGGCTGAGACTGTTGGGAGTTATTGGAAGCAGATTGGTTGTTTCTGTTTCCATATCTCCTATTTCCCTGAGGATTCCTTCTCCATTGGGAATTGCCTTGGTTTTTATTAACCCAGGGGCGTTTATTCCCATTGGCATTGGATTTTTCAGAGTTATTAGAGGAATTTGCAGAATTGCTTCCGGCATTTTCCTGTTTCTGAGGTTTTGGAGATTTCAAAACCTCGGAATTGGTCCTCTTTTTCTGTTGGGTTTCTAAACCTAACTGAATTTTAGTCTCTGACACCATTTTATCACCAGGTTTCTTAACCTTTGGCTGATTTTCATCATGTGCATGGTGTATAGTATACAACTTCCTGCACTGACTGACTAGCCATTCTAATGGTAACTTACAATCGTAATCTCTTGCGAGATTCATTTGTATGTTTACTGGCATGGCATGAAAATACAGATCTTTGAAGTCTGTGCTTTCATACCTGGGTTTCCTTTGGGCCACGGAGTATGCATTTTTAAGAATTATTAAAAATTCTCTGGGGCTTTGATCTGGACGGCACTTTAAGTTATAAAGCGCCCTCTTTGCAGAGGCAATGGTTTTATACTTACCATATTCCATGATTATTTCATATTTCATCTTGGACCAGGACATTAACTGTATAGCTTGAAGACTTTCTAGATAAACACGGCACATTGAATCAAAGGTCCATGTAATGAACCATTTCTTATGAATGTCATCATACATGCCCAATGAATTCATTGCTCTATCATAATTTTCCAGATGTTCAGATATGTTTCCTGAACCTCTAGAAAATTGTGGGACAGTCTCTCTAAGGAATTTGATGACCTTTGGTGTTTCATAAACAGGCGTCGTTGATTTACGACCTCTGTTTCTGTGTTTGGGTAAACGTCTATGCGATCTGTCTGCTGAAGAGGAATTAGACCCGTACAACAGTGCAGATGGCATATCAGTTACATGGCCTTCAGAGTGGACAGTGCAATCACTTTCACTCCCATCACTCTGAGCTTCTTGTTCACTGTCACAATTCTGATCAGCATCAGAATTCTGCCAGTGTACAGAACCATGTCTGTTTTCATTCCTATCACCTTGAATTGGACTCTTCCTCTCAAGTTTGGCCAAGACAGCTTTTTCAAACTGTTCTGCCCAAGATTGCCAAGGTGGCTTGGTAATGTCATGAGATAGGGAATCTTGTTCCACGGGTGATTTTTTACAATTACTCACATCTTTACTTACAGACTGTTTTATGAAAACCTGGTTTGGTGTGGGAAAATCATAATAAGGAGGGGATTTACAAATAGTCTTTTCTTGCATTTTTGTGCAACTTTTTGGCACAGAATGATGACTACCAACCTCACTGTCTAATTTCTGACTCTCCTTTTCATACTCATCCAATTGCATTTTAAGCTGATTTATTTCCTGTGCATATTTATCCGTCAAAGCTTTCATTTCTTTTTCATGATCAGCCTGACGAGTTTTATGCTCAGCAAGTAAATCTTGGTATTTCCCATTTTGAATGCCCAGATCGTCACTGTACGTGTCCAATTTGGCATTCAATGACTTGTTTTCATCTAACACCTTAAGAAGTGCTGTTATAAAGAAAGGCCAAGAGTGTATTATGTACGCCATTTTCCTTTCTATGTTCTTTTGTTCAGCAATTTCTTTAAGATATATGATGATGTGTTCATCAGTTAGAATGGTGTGTTTAGCTTCCCATTCTATGCTTTTCAACCAAACCTCATAGGTTGCATCATTTTTCATATGTTTATGAATATGAACTAGAGCATGTTTTCTTAGGTCTTCAATTATTTCAGTATTATCTGTTACAGATGTATTACTGGATTCAGCCATATTTCTATACAGTGATTTAATCTCAATACAAAACTCTTTTCTATATCAAGATTAAATTGCATGAATTACACCAATATTATTATATATGAAATATAATTTCAACTTAAACGATCTCAGCACCGTGCCTCCAATATGTGGGGATATTTATGGGATAATAATAGTAACAGTGAGAATTGCCCACTAATTCAATTCTCAGATCCCAAAGAACGTTTATCGTGTTAAGTGGAATGTATTTCATATAATTAATATTCACGATTTGTTATAAAAATAGATTTATTTATAATAACAAGTTAATTAATAATAACATGTAACATGCATGACAATAATCAATGAATATTCAGTATAAAATGGTATGCAATACAAAGAAATGGGTATTACGTTTCAATGGCTAAATGGCATTATCTGTCAAGACTTCTACGATTTATGACTAGCTTTCACAGACTGAAAGTGAAACTTTTCACAGGGAAGAACAGAACTCCTCAGAATGCAGCGTAAGGTCGTAAAGTTTAACAGACAGTTAGAATAACCCTTTCAATGCTGGCTAGATCTCCTAGGTAATTAAGATCTATTCTTATGTAATTTTTAAATAAAATAACATTTAAACCAGTTCATTAGTCATTTCCTGAAACCATCCAATAAGAGAATCTACCATATTATATAAGCAGATTTTAATTTTAATTTGTCTAAAAGATATCTTATCTTAATTTAGAGCAAATCAATACACCTGGATAAAAACAGCGGTATGCTAACACGTGATAATATCACATCAATATATAGAATAAGAAGTAGTGGCTCTGATTCAGGGGTCGTGGCTACGACCGATGAATGAGTGCTATAAAGTCCTGAAATTACTCTCCCAAGAAAGGGAATAACCCTCAATAAAAAAACTTAAAACGGAAAGGAGGACCACGAGAGTCCTAAATAGGAGAGTAATATGGAGAGGGGAAAAGGGGGAAAGGGGGGTCCCTACCTTTTAATAATTCTAAAGATACACACAACAAGACAGGTGGGAAGAAATATAGTAAAAGAGAGTCCTGCAGGCTAGACACAGGAACCGGTTACTAAAAAACTGCCTGCTGAATGTCTAGGATCCTAAAAGGCACGCCCTCTAAATCTTCCCAGAACAGGGACCCTAATTGAAAAAGGGGGTAACTAAAGAAATAGGGAAAGGGAGCAAATGTAAAGGGAGGTATCCCAAGGAGTAAATATTGTGCAAAAAACTCCTATAAAGGTCCACTTGCCCTAGTTACCTCGGCACTGTGAAAAATCACCAGTGCCTACCAAAGAAACTTAGTCCCTGCCTGTCAAAAGTAAATAGTAACTGATAAAATAAATTAAATTAAATCAATCCATCAGTGCTACCAAAAAAGTGCAAAACAAAGAAAATAAAATAAAAAGAAGCTCGACGCGCGTTTCAGCGTTTCAACACGCCGTCGTCAGGAGCAATAAACTTTTGGAGTTCCCTGTAGCGATTTAAATACACCTTGTTACAATCTATAAGATGGAAAGCAGCTGTTGTGTACCACGTGTGTTGCCGACAATACTGTTAGCTTATTGGTCAGCTACCTCTTAGGCCCGCCTCTTGTCCGCCGCGTCATATGACGTGGTCTTAAAGTGAATGAAGGGGCGTAATAATGAGGTTTAGACGATGTCCACATGAGTTCATCCACAGGATTTTTATATTCGTTACAATATAGTTTGGAGACTTTAATAGGATACAGAACTAAAGGAGGGTTTACATAGTGATAACGATATGTAGTTTACAAGCGCCCAATGCGCATGCGCACATATCGGTTAGCAATTGGTCCAATGCGTATCCCTCCTATTCATCTGTCGATTGGATCTGTCACTTGTCAGTCACGTCGTAAGACGTGATACTGAACTGAATCGAGGGACATAATGTTTAAATAATGCCCCCATAAGACCCAAGTCGGATGAGTTATTCCGTAAGGATTATTAAATTGGTAGCAATATAATGAATAAAAGTCCCGTTATGATCGCTAGTTATTAATAGTAGAAATCACCAGTGGATGATTATAGGCTATGGCTGTCCATTGGTCCATTGTCTTTAAAAGTCTATCCATCCGCCAGATACAGTCCTGGCATAGGTAGGTGGATAAAATACAGGAAATAACTGTGAACAGTGCCCCTATGGGGTCAACATGAAAATATACACGAAATTCCCATAGACAGAGACCCATTATGGACCGCTAGGTGACAATATGATCTTAACATGATTAATTAAATACCCTGGTGAAGACTGATACTGTACGATCTTAACATAGTAAATTAAATTGAATAAATGAATATCCTGGTAATAACTAATACTAAGTAGTATAAATTAAAGATGCTCAAATGTTGCCACATGATACACAATAAAAATTAATTAGTAAATATTAACCATATACCCTGAGTATATATGTCCAAATTGTGGACATAATTAAAAAACCTATGATATATGTATATTAATATATTGATGTAATAGCGGAAGGCTGATTAAGACATTACAGTAAAGGCTCGCAATCCAAAAAAGTTGATGACATAAAGTCCAGGTGATAAGCATTTGGGAACAGAAGAAGTTTTGCAAAATAAAAAGATCATAATAGTGTGTACATTAATCCATCGGGGGACTAATGAGAATTTCCCTATAAATTGTTTATATCCAATATAGAGAGAGAAAAAAATAGAGAAAAATTAGAATTATTAAAAGGTAGGGACCCCCCTTTCCCCCTTTTCCCCTCTCCATATTACTCTCCTGTTTAGGACTCTCGTGGTCCTCCTTTCCACATCAATATATAATTATTCTTAATTCCACCTGCAGAATGGAATGTTTATAACTATATATTCTTTAGTTAACTAAGATTTCTTAATATGGAAATCTGACCGTGCTTTATCCAGTCATATATAATGCTATTAATACATTTTAATTAATTTAATTAATTAAATGAAACCAGTATAATTACCAGTTGAGTAGATATTTCATCCGATTGGTAGTCTCAGGAACTTATTTGGATGTCTCTCTGCATGGAGGTTGGAGTCCCCAAACTTCCAATTCCTCTCTCCTCTTTTTCTTTGCATATCTCTTGGATCTGCTCTCCTCGCATCTCTCTATCTTCCCTTTGTCTTAACTTTTAAAGGGCCAGACTCTCTGTACGTCATCAGTTGATAACCCAATAGAAGCACTAGAGGTGTGGTTATCTTCCAGATCGCAAATTAGTTATTTGGTCTGTAGAGGGCAGTCTTGTCCCACTAAACATACCTATCCAGGAAAGAGTTAACTTTTCCTGGTGGCTATTTTGACGTCATTTTGCTTATCTCAAATGACCACTATAACTTACGTATCCTTCAAAGATCAAAGGGTTTCTTAAATTTTGTCCAGACTATGTGTCTGGCAATTCCTGCCATAATTTCTGATATGGCAGATCATGAACTAAGTTTACCCTTTTCCATACAATGGTACCTTATACATATAGACAGTTAAATATAAAATTATTTAATCTTCTCTGTCACAATTGTCTGGGTTTAGATTTGATTATATTCTTCTTATCACTTGTTTATACTATGCATTCCTTAGCTCTGGCAAAGAGGCCAGTCTTACAGAAAGAAATCTTGTGTCTTTTTTTTTTTTGTTAACGTGGAATAACAAAATGGAGTCTGGTCTGTTCAGAGTGACTCAGAATATACACTTTTAGTTTCTATCATAGCACAAAATGTCTGCCGATATAAATACTCTGACAGTATGTGGCTAGTGACAGCTAGTATAGGTGGTGTTAGACAGCAACGTAAACATTACCTTTTCTCTGAAAAAGCAGCATTTACATTGCTCTGCCTGCGGGAACTTGCTAATTGTCCCAAAGGGTTTCTTTAAGGTATATATAACAACAGGATTCAAAACAAGAAAAAATATATTCTGTTCATGTAAATATAAAAATTCATAGGCAATAAAATAAGGAAAGAATAAATAAATAAATGTTCAGTCAACCAGATAAACTTGTCAGAGCCCCAAGAGCTAGCACTCAGGTAGGGAAAAATATAATGGACAACTGCAATGAAAACCATCTCAGAATGTTAAGAATGCATACCAAAATGAAAATGAGTAAGAACGAACATGGTGGAAAATATCAGAGAAATATTTTCCACCATCTTTATTTTTTTTCCTTTTATTCTTTTTCTCTAATATTTTCCACCATCTTCATTCTGACTCATTTCATTTTGGTATGCATTTTTAACATTCCGATATTGTTGTTATTGCAGTTGTCCATTATATTTTTTTCCCCACCTGAGTGCTAATTATAAGTGAATGACTGTATCCAGACTATAACTGACAATACATCTCATCCTGCAGTTAGTTTTTCGGATAACACATGTTCTCGATATTTAGGACGTGTCGTAGAAGATGTGGAGACGTTAATGGGTTTGGGAGTCATTCCTCATGGAACCATTCAACTGGAGATCATGTCCCTGGATCCAGAGAACCATCCATTGAAAGCAATGAAACTGCAACAAGAATACAGCATGCCCGATGTCATAACCGTCAGGGTGCCAACAGGTATGGACAAACTGAGTTATTATGTGTGTGTGTTGTTGATAGAGCTCAAGCTGGGTTATATAAGAGTTACAGGTTCCTTCCAAACACAATGAAATTAGTTCCATTGAGTTGGTACTTAGTAAATGTCTCAAATAAATGCCTGTTTGACAAAGCGCTATATCTAAGCCAGGGCTGCCATTAGAAATTGTGGGGCCCCTGACACAGCTCAAGGTCTGGGCCCCCCTGCACCCGAGTCCGCCCAGAGTGCTGCAGCCCCCGAGTCCGCCCACAGGAATGCAGTGTCTGCAGGGCCGGTGCAAGGATTTTTGCCGCCCTAGGCAAAAGTAAAGTTTGCCGCCCCCCCATGTGACATCACAATGCCCCACCCATATGATCTGACATGTTAACTAACACCAGTGCTGCAGTGCCGCCGTGTTTACATTAAAAGGCCTGCAGGGACAGGTTAGACACCAGAACCACTACATTAAGCTGTAGTGGTTCTGGGGACTATAGTGTCCCTTTAATGTGAGGTAAATTAGAGATTAGTGCCACAAATAATATACTAGATTGCCTACTTACAACCAGATGAGGATGATGATGGGCTCTAGCTCCCGTCTGGCTCCACTGGTCTGGTGTAGAACAGGCTCTCTGGAGGCGGTTTGTAACTGTTTCTGCTTCTGGGATCAACGGGAAGCAGCTCCATTTTTTTGAGAGCCCTTTACACAGCTCAATGTCTGGGTCCCAGGATCCAGGATCCACCTTCATGTTCCACCAATGAGTTTGTTCACAGGGGGTGGAGTGTGTGTGGGGGGGATGTCCTGATGTGTGTAAGGAATGCATTGTGTTAATCTGTGTTTGTATGTGTAAGGGCTGCAAGGTGAGTTTGTGTATGTATGGGATGCAGTGTGTGCGTCTGTAAGGGATGTGCATTGCTTGTGTATGTGTGTCTGTGTGTAATGCATTGTTTGTTTTTCTGTGTGCAAGGGGTGCATTGTGTGTGTGTGTGATGTATGTCAATCTCTCCCCCTCCCCCCCATCAATTTCCTTCTCCCCCCTCCAATTTCCTTCTTCTCACCCTCCCTCCCTCTCTCTCCAATTTCCTTCTTCTCCCCCTCCCTCTCCAATTTCCTTCTTCTCCCCCCTCCAATTTCCTTCTTCTCCCCCCTCCAATTTCCTTCTTCTTCCCCACCCTCCAATTTCCTTCTTCTCCCCCTCCCTCTCCAACTTCCTTCTTCTCCCTGCTCCAATTTCCTTCTTCTCCCCCCCAACAACTTCCTTCTTCTTCCCCTCTCCAATTTCCTTCTTCTCCCCCTCCCTCTCCAATGTCCTTCTCCCCTTCCCTCTCAATGCCTTCTCCCCCCTCCAATTTCCTTCCTCCCCCCCTCAAATTTCCTTCCTCTGCCCCCTCCCAGAAATTTCCTTCCTCCCCCCTCAGAGTTCCTTCTTCTCTCCCCTCAGCTGTCTTCTCCCCCCACTCCTCCTCAATTCCTTCTCCCCTTCCTCTCCTTGCCTTCTCCCACCTCAGGGCTTCCTTCCTCCTCCAAATTTCCTTCCTCTTCCCCCTCCCTCAAATTTCAGCCTTCCTCTCCCCCCCTCAAATTTCCTTCTCCCCTCCCTCAAATTTCCTTCACTCTCTCCACCTCAAATTTTCCTTCCTTTGTAAATTTCCTTCCTCCTCCCTCAGATTTCCTTCCTCCCCTCCCCCTCAGTTCCTTCCTCCTCCCCCTCCTTAAATTTCTTTCCTCCTCCTCAGAATTTCCCCTCCCTCCCTTCCTTCTGCGGTTATTTCCTCCCCTCCCTCCCTTAAGTTATTTCCCCCCCCCTCAGAGTTTCCTCTCCCCCTCCCTCCCTTAAATTTCTTTCCTCCCCCTCCCTCCCTTCCTTAAGTTTCTTTCCTCCCCCTCCCTCTGACAGCCGGCGCGAGGGAGCACTCTCCTCTGAGTGCTTTCTCTTCAGCTCCCTCGCGCGCCGCGTACTAATGCCGGCTCCGGAAGATGACGTCATCTTCCGGCTCCGGCATCAGTACGGTGCGCGAGGGAGCTGAAGAGGAAGCACTCAGAGGAGAGTGCTCCCTCGCGCGCCGGCCGGCTGTCAGGGCCAGCCTCTGGGGGGCCCTGAGGTGACCGGCTGCTGGGCCCCCCAGGAGAAGAGGCTGGCCCAGTGGGTACATACCGGGGTCGCAGGGCCCCCTGCAACCCGGTATGTACCCACTGAATGTGGGGCCCGGACGACCTTAGCAGTCCGGGCCCCCCAGGACCGCCGGGCCCATGACAACCGTTGCGGTTGTCATGCCCTGATGGTGGCCCTGATCTAAGCAATAGTCACAGTTTGACTATTTTAGATTAGATTTTACAATACTGTGTTTAGTGCAGCAGTTCACTGCAAACTGGTGATTAGTGAATAAGTCGCTCAAGTGTGAAATGTGATTCTAAGATTTTTCTTTAGTCATCCGAAATGTATTCTGTTTTATGAATGTGTCATAATTTTTTTATAGGTGCGGAAACGTACCATGATCTGGTGGTTGAAATTGAAAGACTGAACTACCGTAAACCGTACCTCGGTGGATATCGCCATAAAGCGACTGGAGTTATTTATCACCATGCCGGCACTCAGACTGTGCCAAAAAAGAGGCCAGACAAAGGAATTGTTGTGTTCTGTAGAGACACACAAGTAAGGAATTTATATATTAAAACGAAATTGTAGTGCCAGCAATACAAAGCTGTATTCCTGGGACTACTGATTCCTCTGTCTCCGCCCCCCCACCCTCCCCCCGGTAAATACCCTTTATTTACTTACCTTATACCAGCACTGATGTCGAAGCTACGCCGCCTCCTTTGTCCCGCAATGAGCAGGGTCTAATGCGGATGCACAGCAAATGCCACATGCACATTAGACCTCCCCATAGGAAAGCATTGAATCAATGCTTTCCTATACGGAAAATCTGACGCTGGAGGTCATCATACAGAGCGTGAGCGTGTTTCACATTGCAGCACTAGGTGCAAAAGTGACACAGCACCCAGACCACTTCAATGAGCTGAAGTGGTCTGGGTGCCTACAGTGTCCCTTTAAAATATCTGCTAAAATATTAGAAAAGTAGTCCCATCATTTCATTGTAACAGTGTAATACTTTGATCAAGTTTTCGTTCACTACTTTAATTTAGAAACATTTTATTGTTTTTATGGCAATCTTACTGAGCAACAAATACTCTCTCGTGCTTGACAGCTGATGTTAGCCACAGCCATGATCATTGTTCAAATTCGTATCTACACAAAAATATTGTATACTGTACAACCAACAGTCCCTGTTTAGTACGGACAGACCCTGTTTAATATGGACAGTTCCTGTTTAGTATGGACAGTCCCTGTTTAGTACGGACAGCCCCTATTTAGTACGGACAGTCCCTGTTTAGTATGGACAGTCCCTGTTTAGTACAGACAGTCCCTATTTAGTACGGCGAGTCCCTGTTTAGTATGAACAGTCCCTGCTTAGTTCGGACAGTCTCTGTTTAGTTCGGACAGTCCCTGTTTAGTTCGGACAGTCCCTGTTTAGTACGGACAGCCCCTATTTAGTACGGACAGTCCCTATTTAGTACGGACAGTCCCTGTTTAGTTCGGACAGTCTCTGTTTGGTAAGGACAGTCCCTGTTTAGGAGATCTATATTGTTTGTGTGTCTGAGTATTGCTATGAGCTCCACAGCAATAATTCTGCAGTAATGTGTCTTTAAACTACAATGAGCATGTTTAGAAATCAGTCTGTGTAAATAAGATTCATTGGTTTTGTTCTAAATTACATTTCCATTGCTTACACTGTTATTGGTAAGTCACCTAAAATTTCTCTGCCCCTGGCCACACCCCCAATCACACCCCTAAAGTTAAATTGTCCATCTTTGTCCATTTGAAATGTTGGTAGGTATGGAACAGTGAAATGTTAGTCAGTAATAATGCACTGGCAATTGTAGAGGATGTCCATTATTGGGTACAATAACAGAGGTGGAAAGATAACTGATTTGGTGCCTTTTTTCTGTTGGGTTACAGTGGGCTACAATTTGCAGTTCCAACAGTTTCCTATTTAGTGACTAACTCTGAGTGGGCGGGAATGTGAAAAAGTGCAGCACAACATTAATAACAAGTATCACCAACTAGATAGATAACAGTAATAAAAATACCATCAGTGTGCATCAAAGGAAAATGTGACTACATACACTGCCTTTGCAAAAGCCAAAATGATACTTCATATTACGGTGTTTTATACGGTGTTAACATGCAGAGAATACGGTGCCAAATGAAAGCTGCATAGCACACACATATACTATAGAGCTGTGCCAAAATGATATGAGGTCCTCTGCCAGAATTTCTCCAGAAATTACCAGATAAACTGTGTTTTAGAATATAGATCTTTCCTGTGTATGTCTCTCACCTACATGTTCCTCTAGTCTAACTGATGTCAGTGAAACAATGTTACTTTGCAAACACTGTGTGACAGCTGTTTGCTCACCAGGAATATATAGATAATGCAACTTTAGCAGAATTTAGAAACGATCAGTTATAAACTTTGTTTAAGTGATCTTTAAATTTTACAAGTGACATTGACGTGCTTTTTTGCTTCACTGTGGCAATATACTGTTGATGTGATTCTATATTTATTTTAATTTTATTTGGCATGCACACACAGAGTCTTAAACGTATATACTCAGTGATATCTTTGCTTCCATTCCCTTTTCAGACTGTATTTGAAAAGAACAAGACACAGCAGTCAAGGAATTCAATGTCAACTCAAATGACAAAAATTGGTTGCTATGTGTCAAATATAAGTGACAAATTGATACAGCCAAAAATATATCTGACAGCCGACGAATTCCATGCGAGACGACTCAAAGCCGTAAGTAAAATACTTATTTTCAGTGACACATTCGAGACAAATGGAGCAAAAAGATTCTATGGGTTTCCATAGACATTGCTGCACTATAGAACTTTGCTTGTTCTTACACTTGGTTACATCCTGATAACTGTCCTGCAATATATTCTTGTTTTTTTTGGGTGTAGATTAGAAGCACAGGTAGCGAGATTTCATTGAATAACCCAAATTCAAGTTAATTTTCACCTATCATGTCAGGATTTAAAACCTCAAGTGATATTCACACCAAAAAGGACTATTTTGGGCAGGCATTCCTTTAAAAATATGTAGCCTGTCATGGCTATCTCTTGATATGTCTAAAGGAAGATGCCAAGTATGATACATTAATCATGCATGCTTTAGGATTCAAATTCTGCTTATGCTACAAGAGAACCAGCCCTTAATCTTTTAGAATTTAACTTCACACATCAACAAGGAGGGTAGTGAGCAGTTTAATGTGACAGTTTTGTTGACATTTTATGATGAATTCCCAGAACTCTCTTTAACTAGCCAGATGGCTCTCCAAATCTGCCATCTATCTTGTGCAAATTGTATGTGGAAACAGGCAGAAAATATGCAAAACAACTGACATTCACATAAATTAAAGTTACGATTACCTGTAAATCTAAATTAAAATATGTTATTTACATAGGAAAGCTTTGCTTGCCCATCTTGTACTCAAAGACTTGAAGTAGTTAGGTAGTTTATATATTACAAACGATAGCCTCAAAGTCTTGACATATCATGTAATTTAGTTATAATTTCACAGAGATGTGCTCTACGATAGAGAAGACCTTAAGAAGATGGGTTACTACCGCCTAGGTTGTCCCTTTCCAGTGTATATAGCTCCAGAGTGATTATACCTTCCTGCATGAAGTACCGCTCTCTCAACCAAGCACTAATTGAGACTTAGTGAAGGGTGAAGAGGAACTGTTTTTATTGAGTCAAGCACACAGATTTATACCCAGACCCCCAGCATGGAGTCTCCATTCAACACCACATAAGCTTGCCAAGACATGTCTGTTTCTGGGGGATAATTGAGTTAGCTCTCGGATAAATTCATTATCTCCCGGATACAGAGAGCGCAATACATAAAACACCCCAAAACATACATAATAATACAGTGTACCCCCACATTCCATATATACCAGGAAAGGTCTCTCTGGTATATATGGAATGTGGGGGTCCAAAAAATGCCCAGGTCAGATGTGTCGAGCCCGAATTAGATTGAGGTATAAAGTTCGGAGGGACGCTAGGTTCCAGATAGCTGGATAGAGTTCCCCGGTCACCTAAAAACACAGTGCTTTCCGTGGGTACATGGAACTCCCCCAAGTCTTTGGTGTCATTCTATGCATCTTCACCTCCTCTGTTAACAATCCAAAAAGCACTCTGATTGAGGACCCTGGGACCGAAAGTGCTTCAGTTGAAGTTTTTGCAGATCGTGGTGACAATGAGATCCAACTTTTAGTTCCATGATGATTTAGGGTTACTCCCAAACAGGTTCACCGTGGCTCAGTGGACCTCTTGGCGAAGAGTAGGCAGTTCTGGATGGCCAGAAAGTAGCACTGGGCTTGCAGACACGGGCTGTAGGGTTAGTTCATAGTGTTACAGTCTTTTTAGAGGAGGTGGAAGCCTGGGGAGACCTGTAGTATCAGGTCACAGTAACAAATAGCAAAACTGCACAGACATGTCCCCCATGCCAATAACATGTCTTCCATGTCAATAGCACGCCTCCCATGCCAATGATATGTCTCCCATGTCAATAACATGCCTCCCATGCCAATGACATGCCGAAGTTACACATAGGGAAAGTAGTAGAACACCATAATGCTGCCATGATCTGATACTCTGTTTATTCAGGTAATAGTGATACAGACCTACTTCCGCCGTTTTCTCGCCAAACAAGTGGTGCAGCAGATACGAGAGGAGTATAGACTGAGGTTGGAATGGGAAGCAAAAGAAGAATTACGAAGAAAACGTGAGAAAGAAGAACGTTTGAGGAAGGATTATGAACGCAGAATGAACCCAAAAACAAAAGAAGATTTTGAACTACTCTACCATGCTCTGGAAAGTAGGTATTGTTAATATTCCACATCTTAAAATAAAGGTTTTAGTGAATTTTTTTTAAGGCACGCTTGTGTAAGTTTTGCCCGAGGAAACATGACCGTACTCTTACCAATATTTCTCTAAGTACTGGAGTACACAAAGTAATATATTTTCTTTGCAGAATGTGGGCATACTATCAATATAGGGATAGAAGAGATACAGATAGTTAGTATATGGATTGAGAGATAAAGGAGGGGAAGGGAAGATGGGGAGATTCATGGTGGAGAGAGCTCGGGTGCTGTACAGCTGTCAGTATAAAGCCATGATAACTGTATAACGTATGTCTTAAAACTCTGCATTTCCTTTCAAACAAAGGAACAATCAGAATTGGCTGCAGAACGCTGCCATCTCTTGGTCATTGAAGGTATCGCAACAGCTTGCTGCAAGCACTTGACATTCAAGTGAGTGGTGTGAGGTCACCTTCTATCCAAATTGCTATTTTAAGGAATTACAATTTACAACTAACTACCGTCTATACTCGAGTATAAGTCGACCCCAATATAAGTGGCGGCCCCTAATTTTACCACAAAAAACTGGGAAAATGATGATCCCTTATTGACTCGAGTATAAGACTAGGGTGGGAAATGCAGCAGCTACTGGTAAATTTCTAAATAAAATTAGATCCCCCCAAAATTATATTAATTGAATATTTATTTACAGTGTGTGTATATAATGAATGCAGAGTGTGTGTGTTTGTGTAGTGTGTGTATATAATGAATGCAGTGTGTGTGTGTATGAATGCAGTGTGTGTGTGTATGAATGCATTGTGTGTATGTGATGCAGTGTGTGTGAATGCAGTGTGTGTATGTGATGCAGAGTGTGTAAATGAATGCAGTGTGTGTGTGTATGAATGCAGTGTGCGTATGTGATGCAGAGTGTGTGTATGAATGCAGTGTGTGTATGTGATGCAGAGTGTGTGTATTAATCCAGTGTGTGTATGAATGCAGTGTGTGTGTATGAATGCAGTGTGTGTATGAGATGCAGTGTGTGTGTATGAGATGCAGTGTGTGTGTATGAATGCAGTGTGTATGTGATGCAGAGTGTGTGTATATGAATGCAGTGTGTGTGTATGAATGCAGTGTGTGTGTATGTGATGCAGAGTGTGTATATGTAATGCAGAATGTGTGTATGTGATGCAGAGTGTGTGTATGAATGCAGTGTGTATGAATGGAGTGTGTATATATAATGCAGTGTGTGTATGTGATGCAGAGTTTGTTTGTGTATGTGATGCAGAGTGTGTAACCTTGGTGGGGGGGGTGGGCATTTTTATTATTTTTTTATTTTAATATTACATTTTATTTTAATTTTAATATTATTACATTTTTAATTTATTTTAATATTATTAAAATTTTTATTTTATTATAATATTATTTAAAACATTTTTTTATTTTTTTTGTCCCCCCTTCCTGCTTGATACATGGCCAAGGAGGGGGGCTATATTATTCCCTGGTTGTCCAGTGGATGGGCTCTGCAGGAGGGGGGCTGGGAGCAAGCTGTTACTTCCCTTTACAGCAGCTCCGTTCAGCTCCCTTCTCCTCCGGGCCGTTCAGCTCCAGTGTAAATCTCGCGGTCTGCGTACTGCGCGGAGCGTTGCCACTGTAATCCGTGGCAACGCTCTGACGGCCGCGGCTCTCGTGAGACTTACACTGTGAGCTGAACGGCACGGAGGAGAAGGGAGCTGAACGGAGCTGCTGTAAAGGGAAGTAACAGCTTGCTCCCAGCCCCCAACAATGTAAGTTGCCATAATACAGACACTGACTCGAGTATAAGACGAGTGGGGGTTTTTCAGCACAAAAAATGTGCCGAAAAACTCGTCTTATACTCGAGTACATACGGTAAATCCCCTCCTGTGATCATATCTCTTAAGGAATGGACAATGTACTACATGAAATTCAGCATTTATTTCTGTTCTAGGTATCGCTTCCATGCAGCCAGATCTAACACTATATCTAATAATAATATAATAACATAACTGTTTTAATAGCATTCTCTAAGAACGTTTGAGAACTGCAAACCTGGAATGTAGTTTTCTTAGAAAATAGCACCATCTTTTCAAATACATTGATTGAACATCTCTGCCACATTTGATATTTATCAAGAGAACACGGCGAAACCTGATTACAATTTGTCTGTGACATTGTATTCAATCACAAACAGTGAGTGGTCTCCAGTTAGTTCTGAAAATATAGTTAAAGTCCCAACTTGCTGATTTATTTGAAGACAGGGAGATTGACAGCGCTATGGAATCTGATTGTGCTATATAAATAATAAAATGATAATAAAATAATAATTGAGAGAGTGTCCTAGATGGATAACTTTCTTTCTCTCCTACCCAGAATATCATGTCACAAGTCTGCGGGAAGCATTGTAGTACAGATGCGATACTGTCATTCTGTGGGTCTGTGTAGCCATCTTGACGTTATTAGAAAATATTTCTCTCTGTTCCGATACGTGTGGTTAACAAGATATTGTTATTAAAGGCTGTCTTGCACTGAGCAAGCAGCATATATAAAAAAATTAATAAGTTACGAAGCTCAAAATATGTGAGTTCTCCTTGTTTAGGGACTGAACAGTTGGAATCTTTGTAAGTATCCTTATTGCATTGTTTATAAATGATTGTGTTAATGTATTATCTCTGTAGTGTTTTCAAAAATAGTTTGATTCTGTATATATTTTCATTTTATTTAACATTTTTATAAAACTCCCTTCTATAGTACATTAGAAATATAACACATTAAAGAAGGCCAGTGATAAAACAAATTTGCACAAATATCAGGAGTCATAATGTGTGCAACCTGACGCTGGGAATATGGCTGTCGTTAAATGCTGTTCTTTACATGGTAATAATTGAAACTGGTTCATTCTAGTATGGAGAAAAGAAGAAATTGAGCGTATTGATCAGATGTACAGTGGTACTGAAAGAACAGACGCTCTCTGTAATCTTCTGGAGCAAGAAACACAGCTAATAGCGTCGATTGGACGCCATAAAATTGACGCAAGTGACGATAACCAGAAAAAAGTCATACAACAACTTCTAAGCAAGGTCAGTGAAGTTTAACCTTGTATAGTATAGGCAAATGGTAAGGATACAAATATGAATATGTCAGTGGAGGCTCGTTCATAGCGACACTCGTTTTAATGTGGGGATAAAATGTATTGGCAGCAGTTTAGAAACACCAAGATTATTTTTCTGAAAGGGGAGGGTGGTAAACTAAAAATATGGTAGAACATTTGTGTCTCTTTAATTCTGTAATAGGTTTCAGTACTGCGGGGCCCTCCCATGTCATTGGTAGCAGTTTGGGGAAACTTACTTAAAAGAATCTAGGTATGCCAAGAAATGGGGCCGGTTTGAAATCTGCCATGTTTCAGCACATGCCTAGTGTCCTTTAAGAAGACATTTCAGACATTTCCATTAAGTTGCCATGAGTGGAGGCATGCTATTGGCCTCTCTATTCAGGGTCCTTCATTGGCTGGTTAGACATTACCCTTCCTTGTGGTGGATCGATAGTGTATATGATCCCTTTATATCCCTTTTTTGTCAATATTTTTTTTTTTGTGTGTGTTTTTTTTTGTATGTGATTGTAAATAAAATCAGCTGGTATAATAGTAAATCAGCTTTACGGAGTCACATGAAACATAACAAAAGTTGAAGGATCACGACTGAAGATTTCAACGACTCTGAGCTGTGAGTGCGCTGGCTTATAATTGCAGTGATTTACTAAAACCACACAGCTATAAACCAGCCCCACTATTTTAGATTTATTTTTAATTCCCCCCCCCAATGCATTATCTATGTATTAAATTGAGGGATGGGGGCTCTATAAGCGATACCACTGTTTTTTTTATTTTGCTTGATTTTATTTGTCTATCTCAGTGCTCCCAACCTAAGAGATGGAACGCATTTGATGGGAAACCGATTGAGATGGACACACCGTTCACCATCCGGGCGAGAGAGCTACGTGACATCTATAACAGCATTATCGCCAAAAATGTCACTCGTGACGAAAGGCTTGACGCGCTTTTGACTCTGAAACATACCGTGAAGGTGACATTCTTGCTTTATATTTTAATGGAACCTTGTGCATGTTTTGTAACCCTGTTTCACAATTTACTATTATTTAAAATGATAAATGTTTATGATTTTTGTTGTTTTTGTTTTGGTGATGATGTATTGCAACTTGTGGTCTTTATTTACTGCTTGTGTTCATTAAATGAATATCTGTACGCATATCTTAAAATATGCATTTATCTCCTTAGCACGTGCACACAGACGTTGGCATGGTTTAAAAATCAGATATTTCTTCAAAAGTGACGCATTATACTAGCATTCCACTTTTATTTACAAGAGGGTTTTTGGTGATTATTGGTTTTAAAACATGTGCGATTCTATACATTTTTTTTTTTATAGCAAATTGAAAATAATACTGATTCAATTATGATATAAAGGATATATAAAAAAAAACATATTTATGGATGTACAATATGTATAAGCTGTTTTGATTGAGACATTTCAAAGTGCTAAACATTCTATTGGTTTCCATGGTGACTTCTCCATATGTAACATTTTGTCCCAGAATAGCACCAGTGTATCCTCTTCCCAAATACATTTTTGTGGTTTCTCAGATATAGTTCTTTGTGTGTACTGTTGCTTAGTACTATACTTACTAGCATTAGAGAGGGTTTGCATCTTACGACCTAATCATTTTATTGTCATATCTCATTGTTTAAGTATGATTGCAATTCACTTTTTTTTTTTTTTCCCAGGAGCATGACTGTAAATTAACGCAGGAGATTGTTGAGTTGATTGACAGGGAAGCTGATCTTTTGATGCGCGGGGTTCAGGATAGCAACTTGGATGGACTGCGGAGAAGAATATCCACTCTTTTCCTGCAATATATAAAAGTTCCAACCTTTAACCCAGAGGTTGCCAGACTGCTGAAGGTATTAGTGTTTTATACTCTTTTTATGTGAATTACGTCAGCCAGTTCTAGATTATCCGTGATTTTAAATGGGTGCGTAGTATGACCCACAGCACCCTGTCCGTCAGCTGTTAGGGGTTTGTAGTGCAGCCATTGGTAGAACTAGAAGTTCCATTAATTAGACAAGATGAAAGACAGGACAGGCAGTAGAAGCCCTTCCCCCCTACTTCACATGCCTCTGTGGCGGTGAGGAGGATTTGGATAGCATTCTCACCTTAATAATTTAATATAGAGCAGGTTTGTTCAATGCATTGTTAATATGTACATTAAAGCACTGTGACTTTAATTAATTAGTAATGACACTATTTTTTTAAAATTGTTTTTGCTCACATACTTATAAATGAATAATATACATTAACAATGCACTTACAGTAGGTTAATTTAATGCAATTTAATTTATATTAATTTCCAAATGATTTATCTACAGACATCACTGTTATAATATATGCTATTTTTTGTTGATAAATCATATGTAAAGCTTTTATAACAATATCAACTCATAGGGAAAACGTATTAAATTGGACGTTTAACGCTATTTACAGATAGGGTTAGAGATAATATGGCAGTAAGATTGTGTCAACAGACTGAGTCTCCTCTAATAGTTTCTTATTGTGATTGGACTTAGCTTACAGTAAATGCTGTATGTTCTGGAACTGTGACCACATTCTATAGTATGATGAGAACTTTAAAACATTTAAAAAAATAAATACATTGAAAAAAGAGAATAGGACAACCAGAGAGCTCAAAATAATGTCTTGAATATGTACAGTTTTGTCCCATCTGTGAATGTCGGGAGTTGAGGTTTTGTGAATTTTACTTGTGTTTACGGGTGAGCTAATTCTGAGGACACAACAAGTATGTGACCAAAAATAACAGACATGATTTGCTACCAATATGGCTTCACAAGGGAGTGATTCGTTATGAGGGGCATACAATTCACTCGTTAATGCTTATGTTTTTAAATGTATGTTTTTTGTGTTAATATATATCTTTTTATTTTTAATTCGTTCAGGTACCTCAGGACTATTCTGTTCTCCAAAAAAACATTTACTTCTGTCCCAGTTGTAAGAGCTATCTACCGTCTACGGAGTTTTCGCTCTCTGCCAATGCACACACTGTAGGCAGATGCCGCAAATGTTGCAAGTTAGATAACGAAGCTCGAAAACGGGAAGACTTCACCAAATATAAAGCTTTACTCAAACAACTTAAAAAATCAGAAACAGAATATGACGATGGAGCTAGAATAGCATATTTGTTGCAGGTAAAAAAAGAAAAACGATTGCTAAATCGATCACGTGTTGATCTAAGAAAATAAATAAACGGAAAATGTGCTTTCTATGTATACTACATGCTCAGGAGGAACAGAGAAGAGATCTGTGCCACAAATTCACAACTCACTTCGTCCCCTGTTAGGAGAATCTCAGGGATGTAAAAACATTAGGTGGGTTCTATTGTTAAAGGAACACTTTAGTGTTAGTAATACAAAGCTGTATTCCCAACACAAAAGTGTTCCTCTGCTCCCTTCCCCTCCTGTGTGGTTCACAAAGGGTTAAATAATCCTTTCTTTCACTCACCTTATTCCAGGACCTGAGTCCCTCTCCACCTCCCTCTCCACCTCCTCTTATGTCAGCGCCGAGGGGGATCGTAATGCGCATGTTCAGAGAGCTGCGCATGCATTTGTTCTTCTCCATAAGAAAGCACTGAATAATGGCTCATTATTCATATGGCTCATCAGTGCTTTCCCATGAAGGATTTTAAGATGCACAGTGCAAGGGCGTCATCATCGTCTCCGAAACTGCAGGAAGCGCCTTTAGTGGCTAGAGGCAGTCTTATCCCTACAATATAAACATTGCAGTTTCTCTAAATCTACAGTGTTTTACATTAAACGGTTAAAGGGACCTCTTCAATGAAATGAAACGGTTTGGGCTTCTATAGTGTCCATTTAAGGAAGGGTATATTAATGAATCACCCCCCTTTTTGCATGGATTATAAGGGGCTTCACTAAACTATGAATTGTGGAGAACTGAGAAGGTAATGGCACATTTTAGATCAACAGAGTTGGAGAATGTTTTCAAATCTGGCTAAAATCTGCAATTCTCTTGTTGGTCCTCAACACTCCACGGTTTAGTGGATCGTTATAAACTTTTACCATAGGACAAAGAGGATTTGCCATTATTTGTTTTCCAGTTACTTTATCAACGGCAGCTTCTTTTCTCCACATTCTTATTTCACTGATTCCTAAATTCCATCATCCTCTTGGTCTCTTTTCCAATTTCTTTCTCCCCCAGCCTCCCCAATTTCAATGATTTTCCAAGGAAGCTTTTGAGATTATTATTGAGGGAATAATGTCAGTGATCTATGCAATGCTATCATTCGACATTTTAAATCTATATAGTGTAGTAAAAATGAACAAGTAATAACATAGTTGGTTAAAACAAATGGGTACATATGGAAAGATAAATGAAGTAATAAGACATGTAAATAAATATGTTTAACATTCAGGGAAGTGTTTATGAATTTTACTTTTATTTTTTCTAAAACTGAACTTCGGCCTTGATTTAAAAGTTAGCTAGAAAAACTTTCTAAATGATTTATCTAAGAATTAAAGTCTATGGGAATTTTTGTAGATAAATAATTTGGAAATCTTATTAAATCAAGACCTTAATTATATAACACATTGCATATATATATTATTGTAAACAAACAGTGTATTATTTTATTTCAGCAACAAGACCTCCAGTATCTTGTTGAGAATATCTGGAGTGGTCACTCCGTACTGAGTGCTTGCGATGACCTGTACGAATTAGCGATGGTGAGGTGGGACAAATATTACGAATGGTCTCCGTGGAACTGCATTCTCCTAACCAAAGATGAAGCAGCTGCACATCTCAAGCTTGCCAATGCAGAGCAGGTAAGAATTATTTAGCAACATGTCCTTTAGAAATCTCCTGCCTTGCTTTATCACAGGTGAGTTACTCTTACAGCTCAATTATTTTCAGTCTGCTGGTTGCGCCCAAGGATTTGAAAATCGAATTGAGTGTGACAGATTGGGGAGGGTGAGCGCGGTCATGCCAAATTATATATGCTTCAGTAATCAATGAGTGAAGGTATATTTTTGCATACTTGTATGCTGGTAACATCATTACAGATATAAAGGTTACTTGTAAACCACACGCAAAAGATTAAATGAAAAACAAAGTTTAAAAATAACATATGTAACTGTATTTACTAAATAGTGAATTTTTGTTGGACTGCAAACTAAATTATACAATTTAGTAGAATATTTAGAATAGAATTTTTCCAAAAGCATGTATTCTGTTCTAAAGTTTGGAAGCCAATTAGCTATAATTCATTGTTTACTGACTAGATGTAAAATGTTATTGTTTGAATTTTTGAAAATTAAAAAAAGTGTCACTGGGTGAAAAGAATATTGTGAGCTGCACCGTCTGCTGTAATACACTCATTATGCCAATAGATGGCATTGCAAAATTACCTATTGAATGCTTTAATTATGAAACCACCAGGAAATATGATTTTCTTGGTGTTTGTTTGTCCTTAATATTAAATAAATAGACTGGAATGTATATCTGGTTGTATCTTACATTGCCGGCATGAGGTACGTTAGTACTTTATCATTAGTCGCTGTATTTAAATAAATTCATCCCACCCAAATATAGGAAGGAAAATAAAAGTGCCTGATGGCAGCATTATTTACTAAAGTGATAATTTAAAATGAAATCAAAGTGATGTTAAATTTTAAGCCCAAAGTAATGAAACTGGAATTATATCAATTCTGCTATTTTCACCTTACATTTGAATTGTCACTTTAGTGATAACCCTGCAGGTTTCCAGCCAAGCTTTTTGAAGGGATTTTCTCCGAGATGTGGATTTATTTAGATTCGGGTTCCCATATATTCCCCCCACTCACCCTGCTGTAAATGAATGCTGTATACACAGGGCTGCATTCACCGTGTCGAATAAATACTTATCCCCCAGCTCTAGAAGTGTGCAAACTATCTGGAAACCAACAATTCTAGGATCATTTTAGGGGTTCATTTTCTGTGTTGAGACTAAGTATCAGATATGCAAACAAACAAGGATTTATTTACCTAACAAACAGGCAGAAACCTACATCATTTACATAACTATCAACATTGCAGCAGAATCAAAGAGGTTTACATCTATTTGGCTTGTGGCCTGCAGGCAGGGCTGTTCCTGGTCAACTGGGGTATTTTAGTGACGTCAGCCATTCATGAAACTCACTTAACCTTTGATATCACAGATATACATTGTCTATAAGCAGTGTGTGTGTTTTTGGAGACACAGTAAGGGTTTCTGGGAGTTGTCATTTATCTGTTTTATTTTCTCTGTAAAATTTTAACAGCTGAACTCAAACTTACAGAAGTTATGGCACAGACATTTAGAATAATAGAGGATATTTCCTATCTGACACTAGTCAGCTAGTAGTGATATAGGGACAATGTGTGTCACCACTCAAGAACACACAGGGTTTTAGCCCTTAAATTAATAGAGATTAGGGGGGGAGTGGGGAAACTGCAATTAAAATTAACTTTTAATTCTAAGATTAAAAAAAGTTGTATCATTCCCTAGTTTAGGGATACTAAAACACTGGTGTACAATCAAAGGAGTATATACTCAAAGACAGAACGACACAAAAAACTAACTTCTGGTTAAGATACTATGTTTGTAGTCGGGGACCAAAGCCGTATCTATGATAAGTTAGATATATGAGCAAGTCGGTTGTGGTGTGCCGAAAAGAGGGCAAAAATTTAATAAAATAACCTTATTACATATCTCTACATAGCAAGATTCATAAAGGCTTGTCTACTCAAGTCTAGCTCTGGTTGTGGTATGTATTTAGTAATACACTGTGGATTTCCAGCATCATAATGTTTATGATGTGAGCAGGGACATTTGTCTAGAAGCAGCTGATGCTGCCCCGATTCTGAACGAATATCCCGAAAAGGCATTGTGGTTGAGTCCCCACCTAGCTTAGAGTGTTCTGAGATACATTATGAATTTAGCTGTAGTGAGTGGTTTGCCTAGCAGTGTAAATAGGGGCATATTGAGGTTTAGTCCAGTGAGTGATAACCTGTAAAGGTATGGCATTTCCACCGGGCACCTTATTGTCCGTAGGATAGTACCTTATCTCTGTACGTTCGTCACATGGTAAGAGGATGTGAACTGTTTGGTACTAGGATAGGCACTTAAGATATGGTGTTGTATTCCAGTCAGGTAAAGTTTTGTAGTGTTAAGAGAGAGTTTTAAATTGAGGGGGCAAAAAGGAAAGGAGAGTCACGATGGCGTCTAGTGAAAGTATATCGGTATTATGGTAATCGGTGGTAAACTCGTTGTAAAGGTGAAATCTCTATTGTATGCTCATGTATGCTTCGGGTTACTCTTTGTTCTAAAAGTTAAACATGTGGGAAAGTAATAACAATCCCTCCATAAAATGCCACGAACATGCCCTTGGGATGGCTGAATAGGTAGAAGCTTGGAGGCGTTGGAAATGTCTGTCTTGCCCACCCAAGCTCCGGTCATCCCCTATGGCATAGTGCTGGGAGAATTCCTTAGAGGAAATCAATGAGTTGAGGCTAGGGGTGGGTAATTAATATGGGTTGTCAAATACCTTATTAAGCAACGTGATTGTGTTGTGGGGTCTATCACTAGACCTGTGTGGAAATGGTGTGTGAAAATCTTGATGTAGAAGTCGACTAAGTGACGGGAAGGGTGTACTTGGAGGTAAAGCTCCAGGTTGTCGATGCAAACCTTCTCTATGGTGAGGAGAAGTAGAGTCCCTTTCATAACAAAAAGACTGAAGGCCAGGATGAATTCTGGGATAGTGAGTTTCTGATTGAGTCTGGGATTCTGGTCTATAGAACGACAGAGAGATCATTCTAGTAGTAGTAAGACTTGTACACTTAGACACTGTGGGAGGCAATCAGTAAGGAGACTAAACTAACCCTTCGAGATGTCTTTGCATGTGGTCGGGGACACGAAGTATGCGGGAGTGACAATGTAAACAGATGTGCTAGGGGCGGGATTTGAAGGGATAACATAACCATGAGAGGAATTTAGGAGCCCTGTGGCTTGGCCGTGCGTCAGTGCCTGTGGAGATTCCAGTCTCTCTAGTCCATCGTTGATGTTTTGTATGGAGGCAAGTAGAGTAGATATCAACTGCTTGACTTCATTGTAGTTATCCAGATTACCTGACTGTGAGCTAGTGCCCAGCTGAGGTGTACCGGTAATTTGAGGAGAAGTTTATATAGTTTGGTTTGCGAGCTGTGGCCGGGAATGGAATCCCTAAGTGCCGTAGTACAGCTTGTTAATTTTTTAGAATGGTCCAGGAATGTGGGGAACCAGGGTTAGTAGGCTCCAGATAGTCTGCAGGGGTGCTAGGCCCAGCCGGGGTGGGTAGTCAGGTTGGGGTATGGGGCAGTGAGGCCCTGCCTTGTTCTGGGATTAGTAACATGCTGAGACACAAACAGGAGTAGGGTGAGCACAACAAATAATAGCGTGATTCTGTGTCAACTGGCTCTAGCTAATGCTAAAGGCGAAGAATTTATCTTAACTACCAGGAGGGTGAGGCCCTTAATGCCAAGTGGCTGAAAGAGGCTCTACCTATGATTTGGCCTAGTGGGCAGGGGCCACTGAAAGATGTGTCGGGAACGTTGGCCTCTCGGGGACTGTAAAAAAGAGTCAATATAAAAGGCCGTGCTGGGTGAGGCCCTTACTAGTAACTTGGAGAGGTTGATGTGAGGCGTTAGCTATGCGTTGGGCCGAGGGGCGTATACCTACATATGCGGATGGAGATGGGTGTTGCCCTCACAGAATTGATCACGATGAGGCTAGTTACTGGCTTAGCTGGGAACCAGACCGCCAGTTGACATACCCGATCCGCGAATGGGACGGGTGATGGGTAGTAGCGAGGTGGGTAAATGTACCTTGCTTGGGGTAGAATGAGGTTTCCTTGCCAGAGGAATGAGATACTGGAGAACCTAAAGGGAAAATTATGAGTGACCGCTAATTGGTCTTGTGACTTCTGTAGCTAAAATAGGTATAGGGAGCTATGAAATAACAAGCTATCAGGGTAGTTTGAGCTATCCTGGTAGGACTTAGAATATTTAATTATATGGTCGTGACAGCATGGGAAGGGGGTGTATGTGTGGGGCCTGTGTATGGTCTGGCGGAGGAATTTTGTGCCAGCGTTGGCTGATGTAACATAGATCAGTTAGAGTGGAGTTGATGTAGGTTTAGTGAAGCCATGCCTAAATAGCAAGGGTTGGTTAGGATGATGAATTTGATTGAGTAGAATATAACAGCGATGAGAAAATAACCTTTAGTGCATAATACCTGATTATTTGACGTAGAGTCAAGGGGATCGTATGATGGTATGGTAAAGCCTGGTACACTAGGGTTTGTACCGTGGAAAATGACGATACATATACTGAACATAGGAGTGGGGCGTGTTACTAAAAAGGTTTAGCGAATAGGTGGTTGTGCTCCAAATAAGTAAAATACCTATGATGGGAGCAAGTATACAGATTGGCCATAACACATGGTAACAAATGTGAACGTGATGACTGCCTCAGAACAGTACCAAGTCCATAAGTGATAGAATAAGACATTGCATTATATGATGGAAATGCTATATACGTAGTGAATATTAAACGCGTACCAGAGCTGAATTAGTAATGGGAAACTGACAATATCCGTGCAAAATTGTAAATAATAACAAGAAACATAGCAAACATAACCGAACTACAGAGGGCATGTAAGGACAATTAGTAGCAGGCTAAATACATTTCAAAAGAACCTGGACATTACATGTATCAGGGAACAGTGTAAAACTAACGAATGGGTACTATGATTGTAGTGGCCGCTAGATGGCAGCATGTAACTGAGATTAGATTGGAGACTAGTTCGGTAGAAATTGGACGAAAGGAAACTAACGAAATGGGAATGGAACAAAGAGCAGGCAGGAGTAGGCTAACTGACTTCCCTGTCCTGAACAGGGAAAAAGTCCCGAATGGACGGTATGTAAGGACGTAAACGTGTGAACAATAGTGTTGGATTTGTACATGGATTTAGCCCGTTCGGGCAGACTCACGGTTCGTGGATTTGACTGATACAGGAAGCAAACGAATTGACCCGGAAGCTTCGATGAGGTGAAAGGTCAGCTAGGCGGCTGGAAAGTACCCAGACTCGGCGGACACAGAGGTTTGGTCCAGGAAAAGGGGTCTCATAGTTCCGGCAGGAACGAACGGCCAGTTCTGGGGAGGTGAGTAGTCTCTGACCACGTGTGGCTGGAACAGCGTGATGGGAGTTGTTGGAGCAGGGAGAACTTGGTCCGATCGGCATGGGAGTCTCTGACTGCATGTGGCTGGAACAGCATGATGGGAGTTGTTGGAGCAGGCAGAACTTGGTCCGATCGGCGTGGGAGTCTCTAACCGCGTGTGGCTGGAACAGCATGATGGGAGTTGTTGGAGCAGGCAGAACTTGGTCCGATCGGCGTGGGAGTCTCTGACCGCGTGTGGCTGGAACAGCATGATGGGAGTTGTTGGAGCAGGGAGAACTTGGTCCGATCGGCGTGGGAGTCTCTGACCGCGTGTGGCTGGAACAGCATGATGAGAGTTCTTAGAGCAGGGAGAACTTGGTCCGATCAGCGTGGGAGCCACAGTAGGCCCAGACCAGCTTGTATGGAGTTTTAGGCAGTCTGCGTTGATGACCTTTGAACCGGAAGTAGAAATTAACCCGGCAGCCCTGTGGTGTAGGGGGCCTGAGTTTAAATAGCCGGGTAACCCCTCCCACAACTTCAGGCTCCGCCTTCCAATATATCAGAGAGAAATATTAATTGTTGCAGAATCCCCCTAAAGTTGCAGTATCTAATAACACTGTACTTGATGATTCTCCAGGTATTGTTGAGTGATTCGATATAGAAGCTGTTACCTGGTGATTGAGTCTCTGCCAGAGCAAAAAAGTTACAAAGAGTATGGGGATCTCATAAGTCTATAGCCTATAGTACCATGAGTTCTAGGCGGCAGGGAGGGTGCAAGGGCCGGTTGGTCCCTGTTACAGTCTTAGTATTTCCCAAACTACTTGCCCCTACGTATTTCACAGCTGGCACTTGTTTCCTCCATGTTGTGAGCCCGAGATAGAAGTATAGAACAGCTTGTAATACAAGTAGTATAATGCCCCACACAGTTATTGCTAAGGGAGAGAACGTAAAAATAAAAAGTAACCAAAACGAAGTGAAACTGATATTGCTGAGTTGGTTCCTAATGAACCAGCAGCTAAAATAATTCTAAGTTAGTCAAAGAGGCAATAGTGAAATCCGATGGCCCTCTGGTTCAAGAGCCACATCAGTATACACTCGACATGCGTTTCACCTGACAGCTGTTAGCTGGGACCATGACCAGTGTTTTAGTATCACTAAACCAGGGAATGATACAGTATTGTTAATAGGAAAACATTGCTGCCATGACGAAAAGGGTGGAACAAAGCTAATTCCCGAAATAAATAAAAATCTAAATAAATAAGTTAAATCTCCGCCATAAGCCCCATACCCATTCCCACTCATTGTATGGAGTCTGTGGGCACTTTGAACCATTTTTCTGTCACACCGTGTTGGGGTGGTTTGTCAAAGTCGAGGTTCTTCCAACCCCCATAGCCAGACCTCTATTCAGGTGTACAGACAATGCAGAAATTTCACTTCTAAATTATTATATGTGAATCCTTCAAACATGGGCTTGCAAAAACAGGCTGAGTGAGGGTTTGCCCCGCAAATTTTTGCATATATCCCCACCCCAAAAATCGGAACTGGATGGGAAGATCTCCAGGTAACATCACATGCATGCATCAATGATGAAACCCATAATCTGTGGAAAATGGGTAGAAAGTGGGTGATCCACCTGCTGAGGAGTCGTATCAGTCTGGTCTCAATGTATACCAGGCTGACTGATAGCTTCCAGGCTGGGTCCACATACAGCACACCATGCCAAGCGCGCTGCCGATGCTCTCTCTGCATGGTCCTAGTGCCCGCCAGACAGTGTGATCATGACTAATGATGCGCTTGTGCTGTGTTGCCTGGGGAAAGTTCACATCCATGGACACTATGGTACAAAATTGGGGCTGTCCCGCTGAAAGTTGGGATCGTTGGGAAGCCTTACTTTTCTTGACATTTTATCCTACAGCAGCTGAAGTGCTGAACATTGGCTGTACCTAGGTCATTCCAGCTACTATGGAACACCACAGTGGTGGGGTAGCAGTTCTGGTGGTATATTACATGGACCCTGCATTTCACACTATGGTGTCATTCTGTGAATTACAGTTTATAATTCACTGTGTGACGTCATACTGTACATTACTCAGTTTGATAAAATGCCTGTTAAAATAATCAGATCATGTACGGTACTACAAAACAAGTCACTAGTTTATATTCTAGTGCAGTCTAATGCACGCTAGACTGACTTCACGTAGTTATACTGGAGGGAAACTTTCATAAAAGATGACATGTCCCAGATAGTACTTGGCTAAGGGGAGTGAAATGTTGATGTAAAGCATTGAACATACTTTGTCATTTCCTCTATCAGCTTGTCAGCTTGTTCTCTGCTCTGTTCTCTAACATAGAATAATGATAATTACTGTGCGTCCTGCTTTGTCTGTGTCTGATTGTATGTCTGGGTTTAGCATATAAAAGCCACTTTGTAAAAACTCTTACTGTTCATTTGTCATTGCTTATAGTTTGCTACACTTAATAGGACACTGTAAGCAACAAAGTAGCAATAATGCAGATACAAAATAACAAATAGGAAAACATATACTCCTGTCCCAAAAAGAAATTGCCCCTAAATATATAAACAACTACCGCTTCCTAAAAGAGGATATACGCTATGGAACCATACCTACTGATAACAAATCCAGGAGAGAGGCACATTCTGTCCTACTATAGATTGAATGTCCACAATTTACAAATAGGTTCCGGTTGGCAAATTTCAATCGGTAACTGAGCGACTGTATTTATTTACTACTTTCTGAAACGTCTTCTAAAATCCATTATTATGAATAGAATAGCGGTCATTCTTAGCCCCATTTCTTGATCACCTTCATGTATTTGTGGAGATATCTCCTCTGATGCTTTGCAAGCATTATGGCTGTAGCAGCATTATGGGAGATGTAGTCCACAACTTCGGGAGTGCAGGAGGTTGCCATCCCTTGGTCTAGAATCATAACTGGATATCATTTCATAGGACAGCCATGTGCCCTGTTCCATAGGAACATTTATTCCGTCTGTGGACTGAAATTAGGATGCACCTGGCTGCCGTGTTAATCTTACCCGATGAACCCTTCTATAGCTGCCCTAGAACCATTACTGAGGTAGAAAGATTTAAAGGAACACTCCAAGCACCATAACCACTACAGCCTGCTGTAGTTGTTACATAGTTACATAGTTACATAGCTGAAAAGAGACTTGCGTCCATCAAGTTGAGCCTTCCTCACATTTGTTTTTTTGCTGTTGATCCAAAAGAAGGCAAAAAACCCAGTTTGAAACACAATTTTGCAACAAGGTAGGAAAAAAATTCCTTCTTGACCACAGAATGGCAGTCAGATTTATCCTTGGGTCAAGAAGTTATTACCCTGCATTGAAAGATTAGATCCTTGAATATTCTGTTTTTGCAAGTATGCATCTAGTAGCCGTTTGAACATCTGTATGGACTCTGATAAAACCACTTCTTCAGGCAGAGAATTCCACATCCTTCTTGTTCTTACAGTAAAAAAACTTTCCTTTGCCTTAGACGAAATCTTCTTTCTTCCAGTCTAAACGCATGACCTCGTGTCCTATGTAAAGTCCAGTTTGTGAATAGATTTCCACACAATGGTTTGTATTGGCCCTGAATATATTTGTATAATGTTATCATATCCCATCTCAGGCGACGTTTTTCTAAACTAAATAGGTTTAAATTTGTTAACCTTTCTTCATAGCTGAAATGTTCCATCCCTTTTATTAATTTTGTAGCCCGCCTCTGCACTTTTTCTAGTGCAATAATATCCTTCTTTAGAACAGGTGCCCAAAATTGCACAGCAAATTCAATCTGTGGTCTTACCAGTGATTTATAAACAGGCAAAATTATATTCTCGTCCCAAAAAATGAATGCCTTTTTTCATGCATGACAATACCTTACTGGCCTTGGCCACGGCTGATTGACATTGCATATTGTTGCATAGTTTGTTGTTTATAACAATTCCCAAGTCCTTTTCGTGTGTTGTTATCCCTAATTTGCTTCCATTAAGGGTATACGTTGCTTGTGTATTCTTTATGCCGAAGTGCATAACTTTGTATTTTTCAACATTAAATTTCATCTGCCATTTGAGTGCCCAGTCCCCCAGTCTATCTAAATCCCTCTGCAGCAAAGTAATATCTTGCTCACATTGTATTATTTTACAAAGTTTTGTGTCATCTGCAAACACTGAAACACGACTTTCAATGCTGTCTTCAAGATAAAATATAAACATGTTAAATAGAAGGGGTCCCAGAACAGACCCCTGAGGGACACCACTTGCCACCTCTGTCCAGCTTGAAAACTTACCATTAATGACAACTTTGTACTCTGTTTTTAAGCCAATGTTCTACCCAAGAACAAGCATTTTCATCTAGACCGATTTCCTTGAGTTTGAACACTAATCTATTGTGTGCAACTGTATCAAATGCCTTGGCAAAATCCAAATAGATCACATCCACTGCAACACCCTGATCTATACTTCTACTTACTTCTTCGTAGAATGCAATCAAGTTAGTTTGACATGACCTGTGCTTCATAAAACCGTGCTGATTTTTGCTGATAACCAAGTTCTTCTCAAGGAATTCTTGAATATTGTCCCTTAATAATCTTTCAAATTTTCCCAGCCACAGGAGTTAAGCTCACAGGTCTAAAAATTTCGAGGCAAGGATTTTGAACCCTTTTTGAATATAGGAACCACATCTCCCTTCCTCCAATCCTCCGGAACACTTCCTGAAAGAAAAGAATCTTGAAAGATTAAAAACAGAGGTTCACTTATTTCTACACTTAGTTCCTTAAGTACTCGTGGATGGATAGCGTCAGGCCCTGGAGCTTTGTTTATATTAACTTTCTTTAGTTGCTGCAGCACCTTGTCTTGAGTTAACCAATTACAATTATTCTGCAAGTTTTTAGTAGCAATCATTTGCACATCTATTGCCATGGATTCTTCCTTATTATATACGGAGGGGAAATAGTAATTTAAAATTCCTGCCTTTTCCTGGCTTTCATTAACTAACACACCCGTTTCACTTTTTTTGTGTACTTACACTTTAATTTTTGTTTTTTTTAGAATTTATGTACTTAAAAAATGCTTTGGGGTTAGTTTTGCTCTCTTTAGCTATCATTTTTTCATTTTGAAGTTTAGCAAATCGAATTGCCTTTTTGCACACATTATTTGCTTCCTTATATCTTTTATAAGATGCGTCTGATTTTTCCGATTTAAATGCTTTAAATGCCCTTTTCTTATTTTTAATCTCTTGTTTTACTTCTCTACTAAGCCACAATGGTTTTAATTTGTTTCTTTAATATTAATTTCCCAATGGTACATACTGAGAAATGTACCTTTCTAATATTTGTTGGAAGATGATCTATTTATACTCAGTGTTCTTTTCACTAAAGAGTTTATGCCAGTCAATATATTGTAAAGCTGCCCTTAACTTATTGAAATTGGCCTTTTAAAAATTATATGTTTTAGTATACCCCATGTGCTTTTGTTTTTTTGAGTTTATTTCAAAGGACACTATATTGTGATCACTATTTCCCAAGTGCCCACGTACTTGAATGTTGGTCAAAAGATCAACGTTGTTTGTTAAAACCAGGTCCATACAAGCATCCATTCTCGTTGGTGCTTGTACAAGTTGTGACATGAAGGTGTCGTTTATCAAGTTTAAAAACCTAATTCCCTTTGCTGAGCTACTAGTCCCTCTGTCTCAATTTATGTCCGGGTATTTAAAATCTCCAATAATTAAAGTGTTACCCAGATTTGCAGCTTTCTCAATTTGCTCAAACAGCTGTTGTTCCTCGTCAATATTAACATTTGGTGGTTTATAACATATCCCAACCAATAGTTGGTTTCCCTTCTTTTCCCCCAAGCAGATATTTACCCATAAAGCTTCCACATTATCCTCCTCGCATTCCATTTGCTTAACATTTGGCTTTAAATCATGGTTGACATACAAACATACCCCACCATCCTTCTTGTTTTTCCTATCCTTCCTAAATAACATGTACCCATTTAAGTTAGCTGCCCAGTCATGTGTCTCATCCCACCATGTTTCAGTTATGCCTATTATATCATATTGTTTAGTGTATGCTACTGCCTCTAGTTCCCCCATTTTGTTATTTAGGCTCCTTGCATTAGTAAGCATACATTTAATATCATGCGTCACTTGTACTTTTTGTGAATTATCAACATTACATAGCTTCTCTGTTCTGAGCTTGCCCCTCCCCCCGTCTCCACCCCCCCTTATACAGTGCTAAAGCCCATCTCTTTTCTGTCCTATCTCCGTTTTGTAGATTGCTATGACCCTCCCCCCCTAGTACTAGTTTAAAATCTCCTCCAACCTTCTAGCCATCCTATCCCCCAGCACTGCAGACCCCCTCCTGTTTAGGTGCAATCCATCACTACTATAAAGGTTGTACCCAAGCGCAAAGTCGGCCCAGTGCTCTAAAAACCCCAAACCCTCCTTCCTACACCAAGACTTAAGCCACGCATTGACCTCTCTAATCTCCCGCTGCCTTTCCACTGTAGCACGTGGCACAGGTAATATCTCAGAGAATACCACCTTGGAGGTCCTTTTCTTACGTTTGCTACCTAATTCCCTGAAATCATTCTTTAGGACCTTCCATCTTCCTCTTACTTTGTCATTGGTACCAACATGGACCATGACCGCTGGGTCATCCCCAGCCCCTCCCAATAATCCATCCACTCTGTCAGCAACAGATTATTATGGTGCCAGGAGTGCCCTGTGCCCCCACTCCCCCCCCCACCTCCTCCATTTTAACCACTTGCAAATGGTTTGGCAAGTTACCTGGGGTCTGCCCCGTGCAGATCACCCCCCCTTTGGGAGACGGAACAATCACTTTCAAACCACTGGCAATATTTTCTCCTCATGCAGCTGTCCGCGTGCAAATCCATGGGATGTAAATGAAAGATCCCATGAGGACTGAAGTCATTAATTCTGACAGAAATAAAATGTTCAAGGAGTCCGTGTCTTGTTATGTACGTATTATACAAATAAGATATTTTCCTTTGTAATGATAATCTAACATTAGTAACTTGGTGGTCTGTATTACATACTTTGTAGACTTGTTTATAGCATGTGTACATATTTAATCAACACATTTCTTTTTCATTTAAAAAATAATGACCATTTTTAATTCTAATTTAATATAAAAAAATATATATTTTTTCTCATTTTACAGGCTTATAGTATTGTTTTTATTAAGAAGATCAAGCACAGGCATACTCTTGCCAGGAACTATTTTGCGCAGATTGAAGAGATGGCACCATTCCTAGGTGGGGAGCGAGCGAATCCGAAGGCTACAATTAATGATTTGATTACTAGCAAAACTATGACAACAGTTCCCCACGTTTGACCTCCATTTAATCATCTTGATCTGCCTGTTTTTAACTTAATTCCACATGTACTTTCATCCACATTCATATACCGAGCAAAGCATTGGGTTCCATTAATATCAGATATGTTAAGTTTAATTGTTTTGTAGCACAATAAACATAAAGTATTGTGCGGAATTATGATGTTTGGGGGTTTTGTGTTGTTTTGCACAAATATAAATTATTGTCTGCCATATTTTTTTTTAAGCATTTTAGTATATTACGTAAAACAAAAAAATTAGATGGTTGACAGGGTTACGTAACTGGGTTACGTATATTTATATTACATGTAACAAGTTTCTTAATATACACTATAAAACAAAATTATACTATACTAAAAAAAATATTAATAGTACTAAGTACTAATCACTCTAATCATTCTGATCACAAGGTTAATACTGTGATCAGCACTAAAAAGGTTAACACAAATTGAGTTTGTTTTTCCCCCCCACACTTTTTAGCAGTTTTTCATACACTGTAGCAATGATATCTCTGCCTCTTTCCCTCAGATCAATGTGAGGAAAGAGAGGGGCAAAGAACAATGTCTTAGTCAATGTTACAATTCATTAGCTGAGACATTGTAACAGTAATTGCATTGACAGGCTGTCACCACCATCACATGTCTTGGATCGCTGTCATTGGCTGCAGGAGGGCAGTCTGGTTTGCCAGGCACACCCCCAGGTTGGTGATTGAAGGGTTGGGATTGTTATGCCACCCTAACGGTGTTAAAGCCCTCCTACTGTAGGACAGCCTAGCACGCCCTAACAGCGTGATGGAGTTAAACTACCAAAAATGTGTTTCGGGCTGTGTAAACAAGATACATTGTTCTTGTTCTGAAGTACATTTTACATTTTAGTTACATAAATAGTTACTAGTAACTAACCCAAAATTTCTCAGAACAGCCTGCCGATGGAAATGTTGGGAAGTATGTGTCTATGCCAACTGTCATGTACAGCTATTTATAAATTACGATTGGCTGAGACACACCCTGGTTTGTTTGGAGTTAACTGCAAAATGCATACATTTCTATAGAATACAGTTGCAAGAAAAAGTATGTGAACCCTTTGGAATGATATGGATTTCTGCACAAATTGGTCATAAAATGTGATCTGCTTAAACTAATAACACACAAAGAATGCTTAAACTAAGTTTAAGCAGTCTGCTTAAACTAATAACACACAAAGAATGAAATGTTGCCATGTTTTTATTGAACACACCATGTAAACATTCACAATGCAGGTGGAAAAAGTAAGTGAACCCTTGGATTTAATAACTGGTTAAACCTTCTTTGGCAGCAATAACTTCAACCAAACGTTTCCTGTAGTTGCAGATCAGATGTGCACAACGGTCAGGAGTAATTCTTGACCATTCCTCTTTACAGAACTGTTTCAGTTCAGCAATATTCTTGGGATGTCTGGTGTGAATCGCTTTGTTGTGGTCATGCAACAGCATCTCAATCAGGTTGAGGTCAGGACTCTGACTGGGCCACTTCAGAAGGCGTATTTTCTTCTGTTGTTGATTTACTTCTATGCTTTGGGTCATTGTCCTGTTGCAACACCCATCTTCTGTTGAGCTTCAGTTGGTAGACAGATGGCCTTAAGTTCTCCTGCAAAATGTCTTGATAAACTTGGGAATTCATTTTTTCTTCGATGATAGCAATCCGTCCAGGCCCTGAAGCAGCACAGCAGCCCCAAACCATGATGCCCCCACCACCATACTTCACAGTTGGGATGAGGTTTTCATGTTGGTGTGCTGTGTTTTTTTCGTCACAAATAGTGTTGTGTGTTTCTTCCAAACAACTCAACTTTGGTTTCATCTGTCCACAGAATATTTTGCCAGTACTGCTGTGGAACATCCAGGTGCTCTTGTGCAAACTGTAAACGTGCAGCAATGTTTTGTTTGGACAGCAGTGGCTTCCTCTGTGGTATCCTCCCATGAAATCCATTCTTGTTTAGGGTTTTACGTGTTGTAGATTCGCTAACAGTGATGTTAGCATTTGCCAGTGACTTTTCTAAGTCTTTAGCTGACACGCTAGGATTCTTCTTCACCTCATTGAGCAGTCTGCGCAGTCATCTTTACAGGACGGCCACTCCTAGGGAAAGTAGCAGCAGTGCTGAACTTTCTCCATTTATAGACAATTTGTCTTACCGTGGACTGATGAACAGCAAGGCTTTTGGAGATACTTTTATAACCCTTTCCAGCTTTATGCAAGTCAACAATTCTTAATCGTAGGTCTTCTGAGAGCTCTTTTGTGCGAGGCATCATTCACATCAGGCAATGCTTCTTGTGAAAAGCAAACCCAGAACTAGTGTGTGTTTTTTATAGGGCAGGGCAGCTGTAACCAACACCTCCAATCTCATCTCATTGATTGGACTCCAGTTGGCTGACATCTCACTCCAATTAGCTCTTGGAGATGTCATTAGTCTAGGGGTCCACATACTTTTTCCACCTGCACTGTGAATGTTTACATGGTGGGTTCAATAAAAACATGGCAACATTTCAATCTTTGTGTGTTATTAGTTTAAGCAGACTGTGATTGTCTATTGTTGTAACTTAGATAATGGTCAGATCACATTTTATGACCAATTTGTGCAGAAATCCATATCATTCCAAAGGGTTCACATACTTTTTCTTGCAACTGTATATGAAATATAGTTCAACTCCAGCATTGGTTGCCACATTGTCACTTATCTATGTGTTCATTAACCCTTTAAGGACCAAAAGTCTGGAATAATAGGGAATCATGACATGTCACACATGCCATGTGTCCTTAAGGGGTTAAAGTACCAGTGAAGTCACCCAGGCCTCTCGATCTCAATGAAGTGGCCTGGGTGCAGTGGTCCTGTCATTTTAACCATTCAAGGTAAAACAATGCCGCAACCGCAATGTTTACCTTGAAGGGTCAAACACATCTCCAGTGGTTGTTACATTGACTAGCACTGGAGGCTCTTCCACCGCACTGTCCGAGTAAAACTCAGTCACAGGATGTTAGTGTCCCCATAGGAAAGCCTTAATTCAATGCTTTAATATGGGGAATCTTGGATGCATGAGCGGCACTTCCTGCGCATGCACATCACGTCCTAAATGCACCTTTTTGAGAAACATTGGATTGGACATTCGCTGGAGGAGGCCATGTCACCTTCCTGATGTTGTGAGAAGAGGAGAGTTAAGCAACGTCGATGGAGCCTCATGGACAAAGGTGAGAAAAAAGCTTTATTTTATTAATATGGCACACACTCCATTACTGAATACTTTTCTAGCAATCTACTTTGTTACCCCTACTTTTACCTTTTGTGTCACATTACCCCACTCCCTCTAGCATGTAAGCTCATAGGGCAGGACACTCAACCCCTCTGTTCCTGTGTGTCCAACTTGTCTGGTTACAAATACATGTCTGTTAGTCCACTCATTGTACAGCGCTATTTATAAATAATAAAATAATAATAATAACTAAGGACAGGCATACTAGTGTTAGGAATACAGGTTTTGGGTTCTACTGTTTTTAAAGGACATTCGAGGGGTGAAAGTGATCCACCTTTTTAATGACTTATACAGATATACAAGGATATCTTTAATGTCACTGCTGCTTCTGCTAATACACTGGTAGCTGAAACAACCAAGGAAGATGCTCTATTAGTCTCACATTCTGGTCATATGAATTTTCATGTTTTCAGGTAGTTGCTAGGATACATAGTTCAGCCCTAGCCACAGTTTCCTTCATTCGATATTTTGGCTGCTATTAGCATGTTTACAGTTTTGTGTAATCTGCTAAGTAACCAGTTGAACATGTATGTTGCAACTGATGGGAAGGTAGGTATCTGTGTGGCACCAATTATAACACTGATCCAGGAGGCCAACATTTGGCTGTAGTGATGTTTACAAAACACTGAAGTTAAAGGGACACTATAATCACCAAGACATCTTTAGCTTAATACAGCCATTTGAATGTATAGATCATGTTCCTGCAGTCTCAATGCTCAATTCCCTGCCACTCAGAAGTTAAAAACGTTGTTTATGTAGCCCTAGCCACACCTCCCTGCATGTGACTTACACAGCCTTCCTAACACTTCCTGTAAAGGTCATCTAATGTTTATACATCCTTTATTGCAAATTCTGTTTAATTTAGAATTTCTTATCTATTGCTCTTTTAATAGCTCGCTAGACCCTGTAGGAGCCTCCTGTATATAATTAAAATTCCATTTACAGAGCAGGAGATATAAACTTTTAAAAAAAGTTACATCCAATTGAAACATTAACCCCTTAAGTACACACCTTCTGGAATAAAAGGGAATCATGATGGAATATTTCCGTTGTGTGTCCTTAAGGGGTTAAACCATTTTTTTGTCATGCAAGCTGTGCAAGTCACAGCCAGGGGAGGTGTGGCTAGGGCTGCAAAAACAGAGTTAAAGTCATTTAACTCCTAAATGGCAGAGAATTGAGCTGTGAAACATCAGAGACTTTATCTATACATCAACACTGCTTCAATAAGATAAAGTTGTTTTGGTGACTATAGTGTCCCTTTAAGAGCAAAACTGTGACACTAGCATTCTTTGATCCATAACCTAATCTGTGTATTATTATACTATGAGTGGCCCTTTAACATTTATTGTGACACACATGTGGATAGGGAGTCCAGTCGGGAGGAAAGCACCAATAAATATGATGTTAGCATTGGCTTCATTATTTTTCTGTTAGTATTATTATCACTAACTTGTTTTTTTTATTATTCTTGCCTCATACCGCAGATTGTAAAAAGTTAATGAATGCAATGCAGCCCGTCTGTGTAAGCGCATTTTGATGGTATCACAAAGGATTTTTATTCAGACAAACTGCCATTTGAAATTTTGACACAAAGTTTTAAACACGCAGGTCTTTATCTTTCATTCTCTCTCTCCGGGGGAGAAATAGAGAGAAGCTCGTGGATTGTGACCTTAGAGAAAGAATGCTGTATACAGTGAAAGATTGAAAGAGTGAAAGATAACGAAACGACTACCAACAAATACACACATTATGCCAAGGAGGGAAACAGCCAGACAGGCACATGATTATTAACTACAGTGAGAATTTCAAATCTAAGGCCAGACTAGCCGAACTGAATTAAAAATTCACTTTAAATCCACCTTGAAATCTCACTCTAGTGAGTAACCTTGATATATTGAGATATATATATATATATAAAAATACATGCCTTCCTCAATTACTATACACGGTGATGCAATCAAGATGCCATATATTTTACTGGTTAAACATTTGATGAGCATCATAAGCCGGTTAATAAGGGGTTAATTAGGGGTCTGCACAATCTATCTTTACTGAATTATTAACATATAGCTCAGTGGGCTACTACATCATCAGTAGAATCTGTTCAACCCTTGGGTTGCAGGCTTGAATCCCAGCAGCGTTGCCTCAGCCCTTCATCCTTCTGAGGTAGATAAAATGAGTACCATTAAATTGGGTAATAGTAACATCCCCTGGATGTTGGGCTAAGATAACATCCTGATGATGTACTTGAAAACCTGAGTAATCTGAATGTACCATTCCTGGTTAAATACATTGTTATTATTTTATTTTTACAAGTGCTCTCTCCACTCAGTGCTATCACCATACCCACTGTGGCAGTGGGATGCACCATATTGACACAATTTAATAATCCTGTGGGGTTGCACATATTATTTAGGGCAATTCAGGTGTCAGAAGTGAGAGGTGTCCATATTGTAACCAAATGAGCACATCTGTTACTCCTCTTGGCAGCGACTGGACCACCAGATGGAGAAGTTTAATGTTAAGGGATTTTACAGTTAGAGGGGTGTGTTTCGAGTCCCTTGGTTTGTGTCATTTAGGCATCTGAAATCCAGCCCTTTCCCCAACTGGACAATGTAGAAGTTGAACCTGAGTGACAGATGATGATTTGTCAGATGTTTGTCAAGCTGCCCTATACCATCTGAAAAAAAGCTGGGGGCCGGGGGCGGCATATGCAGACATTTTACACATTAACCTGTAGTGGTTATGGTGAGCAGAGTGTCCCTTTAAAACATTTATGATTATAAACACATACATGAAAAAGTGAAGTTGTTGAATTATTATCAAATCAAATCAAATGACCTGTTGCAATTAAGAGGTTTGATTTATTGACTAATTAGACCTTTGGAGAACTGGCAAGGAAATTAGAGATGGGAAAATAGCTATGTTTGGACATTTTGTTGACGTAAAATGTGTAATTAACTTGTGAATCAGCACCATCATGAATTCTGCACAAATTAGTCAAATTAACTAGTAAAATAAACATCAATAAGCAGAATTTAGAATCCAAATTAATGTGTCTAATTTGCTTTCCTTGTAATTAACACTGTAACTGCGTGTTGGTCAGAGACTGGTTTTGGGTTTACCTAAGGAACTTGTATAATAGAAGTCCTGATTGCATGTTGATGAATCTATAGGTCGGTATTAATTCTACTGCAATAAAGCTCTCGAATTGAAATATGGCTAACAAGCTGGCATTTGGAAAACTCCCAGAATTTGCTTTGTGAGCATCAAGTAGAACTACTGAGCTGAGCAGCAAGTTGCCATTCAGTAATATTTTTCACTTTTCAGACCGAGCTTTTAAAGGATATTAACTATTCAGAAATAATTTGTAGTCTGCGTGGCCTGCTGCAATATGTCATCCAAGGTTCCAATTTTAAGTAAGTCGAACGCTTTATCATAAGCAGCTGGAAGGCTGGAGAAAGTATGTCCATTGATACGAGATTAGTGCACAGGGAGTTGATCATTTGATTTACTCAGCAGCTGATACATGTGCAGAACTCACATCCATTTTCCTGCTCTTTGCTACTGATTAAAATTAAAGCTCTTGCCGCTGGGAGACTGTTACTCACAGAGCTTCTAAGCATATGCTGCATTGGAATCGCAAAAATACTAAATGCAGCTATGTTAGTGTGTTTCTGTCCAGTATTTAACGGAATATTTTGTAGACTAACATTGAAGAATTTATTTTGTAGAGATTTGCATGAAAATAAATGTACTATTTATTTGAAATTACCATTTTTTTTAAACCTATTTATAAATTGGCCTTGCGTAAGTATTGCTTTGATTTGAATTTTCTTTTTTGTAAATTGAATTTAATTCTGTTTGCATCGCATGCAACAAACATCATATTGATACGTTTCAAGAACAAGACACCGTCATAACCAGGCGGAGTACAAAACTACCACAAACTCAGGTTTACGTGAACCATTTCTAAAATCAACAAAAAAAGTCATTAGGTTAACATATGGGAGGCAGGTAGGCCTCACTGCTACAATTAGGGTAGCTCCTCAAATTCACACTGAAAAGGAGGAATAGATATTGTGTATTTGATGTATTGACTGGCTGGCCTTGTCAGTGTGGTCTGTGGATTTAAGACAGAAGAGTTTCATGACAGAAGAGTCTAAAAGTCTGCAGCCTCTGTGGAGAGAAGGTGGACCAGCAGATATGGTTCCTCTCAGTAGTGCTATAAATCAGCTCCTCTGTAATGCAAGGCTCCTGCATATGGGGGAACCATACCCTGAGCAGTGGGTTAGTCTGTTTCCAAAACAGTGGGGTATGCCCTGTTAGTACATTTAGGATTCAAATTGTTACGGACTTTTATCCACTGAGATCCTAAAGCTTATTGGGATTTTACCATTTGGATTGCAGAATATACTTGGTACGCTGAAAAAGATATTTTTATGAAACAAAAGGTAATTAACAAATTAAAAAAGGGATTTGTTGGTTGTATACATACTGACCCCGATGCTATGAAACCACTAATAAGCTCTGATGCAATCATTTGCATGATGTCATGATCTACAATTTAATCTTGGAATGTTAGCCAATGAATTCTGTCCAAATGATGGACAAAATGTATATATTTGATGCTGAAAGGGAACTGTCCCCTTTTATTGATATCTGTAAAGAGGGGCTTGGCTGTGGGCAACCGTCAGACCCTGCTAGGTGTCAAACGGAAAACTGAAAACTTTTAACAGTGGTAAGATGACAAGAGACTTCTGCCACCATAACCACTGCAGTACCTTTGCAGAACTGATGTTATTGGAGGCATTTCCGAGCTCACACAGTTTACAGGACCTCACCAGGGTCTTTTCTTTTAATATTGAAGCTGGCTAGCAAGCGCTGGCGGGCCACCACATAATTTACTCTCACAGTGCTGAAGGTTTTTAACTGTTTAACCCCTGGCAAATATTTTGGCGAAATTAATTTCATTGAATTTGCTGAACTGAAAATAATTTTTTAGTTCCTAGCTAAGTAAATGATCTAATTTTTTTTAAAACAAACCAAACGACAAAGGTCGAGCCACTTGTGTTGTGTTGTACACAGTCACTCACCTGTTTACACAACACATAAGAGGAGTGTCCCAGTGTAATCCAGTCACTGCAGGCCTAGCTGGATTGCTTCTGTTTAGAGATTTAATTTAGTGAGCAGCCTTGTGCTCCAACTTTAGATAGTTCTTGCCTTCCAACAAGCATGTATCCCTTCTCAGGATTTCTCCCCTGCTTCCTCTTTGTCCTCTGCCCAGGGGTCCTTGCTGTCAGCCATGTTCCTGTGTTACTCTGGTCAAGTGAAAGGTAAGGAGACAAAGAGTAGCTGAAATAATTATCATGCAGATTGCAACTGTTACAGTTCTAAGAACAGATAGGAATTGAGAAAAAAAGAACGTCTACTAAGTCATTTTAAAGAAACCTTTGCTTTTTTTCAATTAGACTTTTTGAGGAAAGTTTCCTGCACAAGGTTTGTCAAGAGCTTGATCCCCAGTTGTTGTAGAGCTATAATGATACAGTAGCAGATATACAAAGCTACACCAAATAAATGGATAATTCTATATTACTGCACATGAAATAAAATGAATGTATACGTTGGTGTGCATTTCAGAGTTTTTGGAATACTGGTGCAAGTTAGTCTTACCAGTGGTTTTAAAAGGACAGGCCCTGAACCACCGCTCTGGAGTTCTGCGACCCATCAAGTTGATGAGGAAGTAGGGAAGTTTAGGACACAGTAGAATGGGTTTGATACATTTTCCAGATGAACTGCTTTGGAGTTTGGAGTAAA